AAAATACTGTTGTTTCTATTTTACATAATGAAAAGCCACCTCTGATGCCAATGTTCTATTTATGTATTATGGGCACAATCCATGTCACTGCCTGTAGTACACGGAAATTACATGATGCCTGGCAGGTGCTGTCCCTTCGTTCAGAGAGTGGGGCAGTTGTTCGCAGTTGCTGGTTAAAGCCCCTACATGGCGATGCAGAGCTGCATGCTGGTAACAGCCCTCTCTCATTCGGGGGCTGACAGGCGATGGTGAGGCAGCAGGAACCTCTGTTTTCCTCTCTAGAGTACGCTCGTAATTACCGCTGGGCCCCGCATCTCCTGTGGCAGCCGGCTCTGTTGGGTCCAGGGCAGCAGTGAACTCCAGAGGCCCAGGCCCTGCCCCTCTTCCATAAGCCCGAGCCTCCACGTGCTTTACTGACTCTCCAGGTGATCCTGTTGCACACCAAAGTTTGTCCAGGTCATTCCCGAAGCCTGGGAGTCTCCTCGAAATCAGATCCATTCTAAATACCTGCATCAGCCACTTTCCACTCTCACCACCGCTTTGGCCTCACTACATGCCCGCGTCCAGACACCCTTTATTGGCAATTCCTGAGCTTTTAAGGGTCTCTGTTCAAACTGGGCTGCTTTTTAGCTTTCTCCGATCCCAGCTTAGCATTCAGTTTTCTCAAGTTGGATCCATACCATGTGTTCATCTGCTCACTGGTTTCCAGAATTTTGTTGCTGTTGTCTTCTGTTCTCTTTTGCCCTGTGGGATTATGTCTTTCATTTTAAAATCTCTGTCATTTGAGTGTGCTTTCAAATGAGGAGAGGGGGGAAAAGAGGGAAATCTGCCATCTTTAATCAGAAAAAGTATCTCTTGGGAAACCTGGGTGACTCAGTAGTTGAGCGTCTGCCTTCAGCTCGGGGCATGATCCCCGGTGTCCTGGGATCAAGTCCCGCAGGGATCAAGCCCCACATTGGGCTCCCTGCATGGAGCCTGCTTCTCCCTCTGCCTGTGTCTCTGCCTCTCTCTCTCTGTCTCTCTATCTCTCATGAATAAATAAGATCCTTAAGAGAAAAAAAAAAAGAAAGAAAGAAAACTATCACTTAATTATTACATCAAACCCCGTCTTTCCAAGGAGGACATTGATGTTCAAGGAGGATAACTAATATGCTAATAATCCTGGGTTTTGTATCCAGGCAGCTAGGTTCTTAACCATTCTGCTCTACTACCTCACCATAAAACCAGAAGCTAAAGAGTCTTCTTCAGTGAGAGAGAATCTCATAGGCCACCAGTGTAGAAAATACTATTCCAAACAGAAAGGTTCTAACTTGGAAATTGGCAAATTACATTAGATCCCATTAATATAATGGCATTGTTGTATAACACATGAATTAGAAATTGCTGATGAATAATAGATTATACCAGCTGAACCGAAGGCTTTCCAGGAGAACTTTTTGCACATTTCTTTTTAGAATGACTAAAATGACATCATCCCCAAAACAGTTTGATTTGTTCTGTGCATCTAAAGAAATAATACAGTAAAGGGACTCTAGAATGTGGACATTTTCAGACAATAGTCACAAGACTGAAGAGAGGCATGCTGTAATCAAAATTGCACTTTGTGGGGTGCCTGGGGGGCTTAGTGGGTTAAGCATCTGCCCTCAGCTCAGGTCATGATCCCAGAGTTCCCAGATCAAGCCCAGCATCATCGAGCTCCCTGCTCAGTGGGGAGTCTCCTTCTCCTTCTTCCCCTCCCCCAGCTCATCCCCCTCCCTCAAATAAATAAAATCTTTTTTAAAGAATTGCACTTTGTATGTCACTACCTGTTCCTTGAGTTACAAACCACCTAAAATCACGACAGACCGTTTTCTGTTACAAGAAGAAAAGGTTCTGTTTAAATTCAGAATCCTGTGCGCTCTCAGCGGGTTCTGAAATAAGATTGTGCTTCTGCCTTGAGCTCAACAGTGTACCATTGGCACCTCTTTGAGATATCTCCGGGTCCATTCTGGTTGGTTTTAGTTACAGGCTTTTGGTAGTAATATAACACACACCGTCTTTAGAGTAAGATTCCGTTGGTGTAAGAACTGGTATTGGCATTTTATAGATCATGGAAACCAAATGTCATCTCATTCTTTGGTGCATTTGAGATATAAAAAAAAAAAGTGATTCCTTAAGGCTGTGATTCTCTTCTAAACCGCCTCTCTCAGATTCTGAAAATAAAGAAGAGTTGGCTGCAGTTGGGCTCATATCACAAGAACACAGATTTGACACAGTACGTGTTTGGTCTTGTAAAACTACACCACTCATCTTGCACTCTTATTCTCTGCACACATGAGATCTAGCCTGGATCTAGGACATATGTTATAAACAAAAAGGTGTTACTTAAGGGTCTCTGTTAATCTCCTCATCTGTCGATGGAGAGAATATTTTTTACCTTGAGAAACATGCTTGCCTGTGAACATTAAATGGGAAGCATTTCAGGTATATGAACTATACTGTATGGTGTTGATTATCCAAAGCAATAACGTAATTAAAAAGCATCTAAGGATGGAGGGAGAGAAAATCCTAGTGAGGCATGAAGCTGGAAATCGGGAGACTGAGGAGTCGCAGCCTTGCCTGTAACGAGTTGGAAAGCCTTGGGCAAGTCACTTTCCTTTCTGCTACTTCTATGAGGGCTTATGCCGTCTTCAAAATTCCTCTGATTGCCTGAAAAGCTGAGGCCACGCTGGAAAAGCAGGAAAATGGAAGAAGGAAACTTCGTAAGTTGCCTGAGATTGTTTTCTTCCCTTGACACGAGCTCCTCAGACATGCCTTCCGATGGTCTGGGCCTAGGCCGCCCCAGAGCAATCCACTCCCTGAATGGGCGCCAAGGAGGTAATGACCTGCAAGCTGAGGAGTATCTTTCCCCGTGGGCTGTTAGCTTGGGTCAGGCGGTATGAGAGCAAGAACCAGGCAACTTAGCCCAGTCCCAAGTAATTGCTATTTACAGTCTGGAGACAGGCTCTTTCCATAAGCCTTTAAATTAAGCAAAGGAGTCCAGGGGAGGCCCTGCCGCCTCTCTCTGGGTTATTCCTATTTGCATGGCTCCTCCTCTGCCCCGGTTCTCTGGCGGGTCTTCAAGAGGGTTCTTTTGCACTGGGTGTGAATTAAATGTTACAGTTTGGGGTTGGGAAAGACCTCCCTCTTGAGGATCTCTACAATCATCCTGAGGATTCCACTCCTGCCTTTACTTCATAATTTAAACCTGGAGACCTGCCAATCCCCGACATTGTAATAAGGATTCACCAAATTTATCTTTGTTTAATATATCAGGATTCGTTTAATATATCAGGCCCCTTCCCCAGCTTGCCTGCCTCTCCTCATTTCTCAGACCTTTTTTTCCCCTTTCTCATCCAGAAAGATACTTGAACTTAAGGGAGAATTTTGCAAATCTCATATATTACATAGAAGATTTACATATAGCGGTGTCTGGCTGGCTCAGTCTGTGGAGCATGCCACTCTTGACGTCGGGGTCATGAGTTGGAGCCCCACGGTGGGTGTGGACCTACTTAAAATACAAAAAAATTGGGATCCCTGGGTGGCGCAGTGGTTTAGCGCCTGCCTTTGGCCCAGGGCGCAATCCTGGAGATCCGGGATCGAATCCCACGTCGGGCTCCCGGTGCATGGAGCCTGCTTCTCCCTCTGCCTGTGTCTCTGCTTCTCTCTCACTGTGTGCCTATCATAAATAAATAAAAAATTAAAAAAAAAGAAATATATATATTTAAAAAAATACAAAAAAATTATCTATATATTTTAAAAGATTTACATATAAACAATTCTTAGGAGGAGGTGGGGTTTACCTGGGAGATTACTGTTACTGCTTTTGCATTTTCACATACTGAATTTGATATGCAATGTGTAATTTTTATTATCAGTTAACATTCAGGATTTGGGGTGGCTTTTTTTAAAAAAAACATTATAATTATGTGACTTTCAAAGACTATAAAATGTCAAAGGGTATCTTCTATGTCTTTTTAAATTGATATATGTTTCTTCACATGAATCCTACCTATTTTCATTAATATGACTTTTTCCCTTTAGAATCTCAAAGGAAAATAAAATTTCAGAGATTTTTTAAAAATTTGTTCATTCATGAGAGACACACAGAGGCAGAAGGAGAAGCAGGCTCCCTCTGGGGAGCCTGATGCAGTACTCGGTCCCAGGACCCCAGGATCACAACCTGAGCCAAAGGCAGATGCTCAGCCACCCAGGTGCCCCAGAAAATAAAATTTCAAATTTTCAAGTTCATTGTTTGATGTATCTCATAAGTTTTGTACATATAAATATACCTCCCAAATTTTTTATACACACTTTCAAGCATTTAAGTCTCCCCTTCCTCTCTAATAAATGTAGTTTTTTGTTGTTGTATTTTAGCATGTTTGGCTTTTCTCAGATAGAGGACTCTGCAGACCTTGGGACCTTTCTTTCTGCATCACCTCTTGGGGTCTGATAGCATAGACATCATACAATGTACAGACGTGTGGGCTGACTTTATGGGGCTACCTGCATGTGGCCTGAGCAGTGCTTAATCAGTACTCAGGGGTGTAGCACAGTCTGGTGGACCCAAGGGGTGTAGTTATTTGGCCGCCCCAAAATTAACATTTAACTGTATTTCAGAATTGAGTTTAAATTTCTGGTTTAATATTTCTTGCAACTTGCACTGTAGGAAAAAGCACTAGCCCGCAAGTCAAGAGACCTGTCATTGTGGCTTTTGTGACCACTTGGGTGACCTTGACCAACAAGTTTCCTCCAGAAATGAAATGGCCTCTGGGTGGGGGCTGCTGGGGAGGAACTTGCCAGCATAAGGCTGTATGGTTCCAGGTTATCTGAGGGGCTGTGCTTTGATCCCGGGAACCTTTTTTCCTCACGTGATTACCTCTATTGCTGCTCTTCAAGCCTGGAGATGGCTTCTGGGAGGGGATCTCATCGGTGATTGCAAGCCAGCCTCTGCCATCAGCTTGGTGCTCTCTGCGTTTCAGATGCCTGGGACGGATGAGCCCCAAGATTCATGCGGCCCCGACGAATCCAAGGGAAACCTGGAAAGTCCCAAGCAGGGCAGCAGCAAAATGAAGCTCAAGACTCGTCTTTCAGGTGAGTGGAACTCTCTGCCGGATATGGCCTGTCTGAAAGTGAACTTCTAGCCTCAGGAGGGCAAAGATCAAGTCATTAACAGAATGAGCTCTTTTTTTCCCCCTTACAGCCTCAAAATTGTTTTTCCCTTAGATAGTGCATATGCCCCGAGCATAAAACCTCACTCAGCCTGGCTGCCCACTTGAATATTTTTATTTGAGTCATAATGAAGTGAATGTCAACATCTCCGTTTGTCTCTGCTCAAACCTAAATTTCCTGTGTGTGTATGGTTCATTTACTTCCACAGGACTTCAGGTGACCCATGCACCGTGGAATATTCCTAGTGGCCTCTTCCTGGCAAATGTCCCTCTCCCCTCAGTCCACCAGAACCAGGGGCAAAGAGCTATTTACTTCATATTAAATCTGCATCTCAATGAAGCAGGCGGAAAAATGGGATGGGAGTTGCAGCTCCGGGAACAAAGAGATCTCACAGTTCCTGGGTAAAGCCTCGCAGCAGCTGGCCCGTGCCCTGAGATATCAGAAAGGGAGACAGAACATAAAGACTTCTAACTCTGGGAAATGAACTAGGGGTGGTGGAGGGGGAGGAGGGCGGGGGGTGGGGGTGAATGGGTGACGGGCACTGAGGGGTACACTTGACGGGATGAGCACTGGGTGTTATTCTGTATGTTGGTAAATTGAACACCAATAAAAATTAATTTATAAAATTTAAAAAAAAAAAAGAAAGTCAGTGTTGAAAGCAGAGGTCATGTGTGCAGGGACCCGTTATGAGCCGTGGGTCCTAGGCACTGACTCCCCAATGGGTTCTTTCCCCATTCAACACACACACAACCTGAAACATATTTTGTGGCTGCATCCGGATGAAGATACAAGCTGGGCTCTTTGTGATCTCTTCATTGCTGTGATGCTTATACTTAAAACTTTCTTGTGGGCCCTCGGTGCTGTGTCTACTGGCCCGACGGACAAGCCAGCCCTGGCCGCCTACACACCAAAGACCTCTCATGTGACCTCGGGCCTGTTATTTCAAGCCCCTGAACTGTTACTGCCTCACCTGAAAAAAAGGAGATAATAATCCTGGCCTTGCTGGGGTGAGCAGATTAGACAGACAGACAGACAGGCAAAGCACAGAAAAGCAGCCACGGTTTGTTAACATGCAAAAAATTGTCAGTCTCCTCTTCCAGACCAGTTGGTGCGGAGGGGTGGTATCTGTGCCTGCCAACCAGGACCCCCACCCCCACCACCACCACCTGCCTGGCCCTCTCCTGAGTTATTCTCAGGTAAAGCAACCGGTATAGGACCATGAAATACATCTGTTTGTTGGAACAAACCCGAGTAACAAAGTGAATTGGTTTGTATTCGTAACTCCTGTTATTAGGCGGTGTATGTCTAAACATGGGTCTGTGACAAACCAGAGGCTGGGAAGTCGGAGGGCAGACGTTGTGCCAGAGGTCCTCATGTGGGGGGAATGGCCAGCTCCCCTGCAGCCCCCAGGATCAACTGAGAGAAATACACTTAATTCCTACACATATTTGGGGCCTGTGAGTCTCAGGGGCACAACGAATGGAGATCTTTAGGTCCGTTGTCTTAGCAGAGTTAATCAACACCTTATACGGTTCTCAGGGGGGCCACAGAGCTTTGGGGGGAGTACCAGGGACCTTTGAAACCCATGCTGTTACATTCCTCGTTTTATGGATGAGACCAGAGAGTTTAGGGAATCCCAAAGGTCGCTCATTCCGTGCCAGCAAGATCACCTGCCTCGCAGGCAGTTCTTACCCACCCCTCTGCTTCCTGTGAGTCTTGAAGAGAATCCTACTCTAGTAGAGTCTGGGGCTTTCTAGATACAGACATGGGGAGGGGCATGTAGCTGGGAGCCTTTCAGATCATAATTCTCTGACACTCTTCCTACTATTAATTTAGAACAAGTGGCACATTCAGCGGAGTAGTAGATCCACAGGTGGCTACTGTTTGCCACAACTGGATGTCACCCTCTTTCTGTCCTCCCCAGACACCTGGGACCCCAGTAAGCAAATCTGTATCCCATGCATGAAGCCAGGGAGGACCGTGTTCAGTTCCCAGCTCTGCCATGACTGGCTGTGTGATGTGAGACAAATGACTCAACGTCTCTGGGTCTCTGTTTCTTCATGTGTGAAGTGAGGATAATAATGTACATTTATTCTGCGAATCGGTCAGTATACGGTCTCAGTTGAAAGATGGGGTTTAGAGAATGAATGTGGCACCGGCCCTCCAGAATGTGGCTGTCACAGCCCACCCCACGTGATAGCTGCCCCCCTTGTACCACTGCCATCATTGACATCACGTTCATCATCATCATTTTTGCAACCTTCTTGTAATTGGTGTCCCCCCCTTTCCCTCTCAGGAGGGGAAGATGCTTGAACAGATTCAGACAAGCGTATTCTTGAGAACTTGTAGACCATGATAAGGCACCCACGAGAGGTTCGAAGATGGAAGGCTCTCTGGGTTGTGGCGCTCAGGGGAGGCATCAAGAGGACACAAGATTGAGGAGACCCAGTGCCCTGGCAAGACTTGAGAGAACCCACAAGGAAGCAAACGGTGGTCTAGACGAGGAGAAAGTGCACAAGAGATGCTTAGGGAAAATGGGGGGAAATTGGTTAGTCTTTGGCAACTGCTCCTCCTCGGCTCCCTGAAAGAGCCAGTGACCAACCAGGAACAGGCTGAGCCCAGCAGAGCCCATCAGTGAGATTAGGGCTAAGCCCCCCCCCCCCCCCCCAGGGTGGGAGACGATGGTGCCAGCAAAGCGAAGTTAAATGTCAAGCAATATTTATAGGCTCCCCAGTTTTGGAAAGGATGCGGGAGGAGGACAGATCGTCTCCTTTGAGAATCAGCAGGCTACAGCAACGAATTCATGCAGCAGGACAGCGGGAGATAAGGCTGGAAAAGTAATTGGAGGCCTTGTGACAGAGGCTTGCGGAACCGGGTCTTCAGTCAGTGCTGTGAGATATGTTCAGTCTAAAGACTTTTGAATACGGGAGATTTTAATGTGATCAACTGCTAATTTGTCTGTCCTGTAAACTTGGATACTTCTTTCGTATTTTCTACAAGTGAGTCACTCTGGTGGTATTCACGTATCAGCCTATTATCTACAGACACTACCGTATGTGGTTTCTCTTCTGTTGAGGCAAGTGCCTCCCTGTCAGCTCAACCGGCACTTTCTTCTAATAAATCTTTTTCAGATGAGTAAGCCTGCCAAGATGGATTAATCTGGCCATGAATTAGTAAGTCATGAATTATTAAGGAGGTTCTGTAAAGAAGTTCCAGCCATTTCCACTAAGATTTTTGCCTCGTCTAGCTCCAAAATGACTATAGCGATTTTATGGAACATTTTCCCTGATAGTCTAACCTGAATTTTCCTTACTTCGCACTTCCTTTTTTGCCAGCAGGGTTCCCTTTTAATTTTGGTATTTTTGATTTATCCATGTTAATGCCTTAGGTTTGTGATCTTTTTAAATGGAAATTTCTCTTTGATTGCAAAGGAGTTCCAGGTGTTTGAAAACCTGTATCACAAAGTTAATATGTAGCTTTTGAAACACCAAGCTTTTAGCGATGTGCACCTTAGTATAACTGCATCAGCACTCTTCTAACTTTTCATCACCACCAAAAACTCAATATATATTTTTTAAAAAGAGTACAGAATCATCCTGTTTTATTCCGTGAAAAACTTTCTGAGAAATGTTTAGGTAAACTGAATTTTAGGTGATCAAATGAAATATAGTCTGGGAGAACTTGGTATTAAAGAATCTGTATGTGTATATAGCTATACACACACACACACGGGTATATATGTCATTTATAACACATCATGTAAACATTGTAAGGTTATAGCTATGATGTGATCAAGCCATCGTTTAAGATTACAGCCCTTAAATTTTCTTATTTTAAAATGGTGTATAATAAAAACTAGGTATTGATAAAGATGTCTTTAAAAATTACTATAAAAGTTTCTTTAAAAAAAAAAAAAAAAAGGATGTCATGACAGACACAGAGAGAGGCAGAGACACAGGCAGAGGGAGAAGCAGGCTCCATGCAGGGAGCGTGATATGAGACCCGAACCTGGGAATCTGGGATCAAGCCCTGAGCCAAAGGCAGGTGCTCAACCGCTGAGCCACTCAGGCGACCCACTATAAAAATTTCTTAAGACACAAAAGTTTTGGGGGCCTGGGTGGCTTCAGTCAATTAAGCATCTGCCTTCAGGTCAGATCACAATCCCAGCGTCCTGGAATGGAGCCATGCCTTGGGCTCCCTGCTCATTGGAGAGCCTACTTCTCTCTCTTCCTCTGCCCTCCTCCTGCTTGTGCTCTCTCTCTCAAGTAAATAAATAAAATCTTTTTTTTTAAAGATTTTATTTATTTATTCATGAGAGACCCACAGAGAGAGAGGCAGAGACACAGGCAGAAGGAGAAGCAGGCTCCTCGCAGGGAGCCCGATGTGGGACTCGATCCCAGGACCCCAGGATCACGCCCTGGGCCAAAGGCAGATGTTCAACTGCTGAGCCACCCAGGCGCCCCAATAAATAAAATCTTTAAAAAAAAAATACAAAAATTCTAATCATAAAGGGAGAAATAAAATTACAAATTTTTGCTATCTAAAAATACCATTAAGACATGGAGAAGATAATTACAATACGTAGATCTCATGAAGGACTCATATCCAGAACATTATTAACAATAAAAAAAACACCTATAAGTCAACACCAAAAAAGACAGAAACCCAATAAAAGAATAAGCAAAACAGGATTTTACAACTTTATCAAATAATAATAATCGGCACTTTACAACTTCACAAAAGAAAAAAAAGCCACTCTACAAATCTACAAAAGTAAAACAACCAATGAATATTTGAAAGACACTCAGTCTCATTAATCATCGGTGAAATGTAATTTGAAAACCACAACGAGGGGCCCCTGGCTGGCTTGGTCAGTGAGTAGTGCGTGGGACTCTTGATCTTGGGACTGTGGGTTCAAGCCCCATATTAGATGTGGAGATTACTTGAAAACAAAATCTTTTAGAAAAAAAACCCACAGTGAAATGTAATTATATATCCATGAGAATGGCTAAAATTTTAAAAACTGGTACCACTAAGTATGGCAAGGATGTGGGGAAACCAAGACTCACACACCATGGTGTTACAGCATTGGTAAAGGTAGTTGTATACCCGTAACTCAGCAACTCTACTCCTAGGTCCACACCCCACTGATAGGACTTGTATCAGAATGTTCCATAGCAGTATATTCTAGATCAAGGATCAGCAAGCTACCACCCACAGCTATATTTGTATGGACCACAAGCTAGAAGTGCTTTCTGTATTTCCGGTGGGTTGTTTAAAAAAAAAAAAAAAAAGATGTTCAGAGAATATGCAGCAGAAACCATCTGTGGCCCATAGAGCCTAAAACATTTACTATCTGGCCTTTACCCAAAAAAGAAAAAAAAAAGTTGTTGCCCTTGTTCTAGATCTAAAACTGGAAACAAAACAAGTGTTCATCAGCAACAGACCGGATAACCAAATAGTGGTAAGTTTATACAATGACAGTAAACAGAAATGGATGAACAGACTATTAGCAACAACATGGAGACGTTCACAAACCGATGCTAAGAACAAGGAGCCAGATATTTTAAAAAGATACATGTCTACGTCTTCACTTATATAAACTTCAAAAATAGGCAAAAGTAATCTATGATGTTGGAAGTCAGGATAATGGTTACCATGGTTGAAGGGTGGTTAGTGGCACTAAAGTGGCTTTTGGGTTCCAGTAATATTCTATTTCTTGGTCTGAGTGTTGGGTTTTGGAACGTTCACTTTGTGAAATTTCATGGAACTGTACACTTATGATGTGTGTATGTCCCTGTAAGTTGTTCTTTAATAAAAAAAAGTTCATTTGAAAAGTAATTTAATGAAAAAAAAAAAAACACCTGCCCAAACAATGAAACTATACCAACCACACGGTAATGTTCCTTCCTCACTAGAAAACCATCTACTGATAGATTCTCACTGTTGTCTATTGCCTTATCAACCCCGGCTACGTCTTACTTGGACGAAACATAAACATCTCCTATATCCAGTCTGGTCCCTTCAAAGGACTGGCACTTTCTTCATAATCTGGCATTAATGGCCCCAGCTGAGGCAGAGCTTATTGGTAGAAAGTGATGAGCTCAGTGCCTAGAGAGTATTAAACACCAGGCCTTCTGAAAACCACGAAGTGTGGCTGTGAATGCAACAAGTTTATGCCTGTGGTGCTCTCATAAGATTCTTTCCATCCCATATCACACCATGTTTTTCTCCATGTTTTTACAAGGGGGTGTACACCGTCTAGAGTCTGTTGAGGAATATAATGAGCTGATGCTGCGAAATGGGGACCCGCGGGTCAGGATGTTGGAAGTCTCCCGAGATGGCCGAAAGCACTCTCTTCCCCAGCTACTGGACTCTACGGGAACATCACAGGTAGTACAGTACCATGGAGCCTTTTTGTTTTCTCAGAGTTGCCCGGTTAGGGATGTAAGAGCATGTTTCCACCCCTGGGTCTCTAGGCTTTCTTTTACTCCTCCAGAGACCAACAAGAGCATCCATGTTGTGAAGAACAACATGTGTGTGGGCAGGAGTATTTGAGACCAGAGATGTAGCAGAGAGAGTAAGGTCTATCCACGGAGGTTAGGAGGAAGTCAGCCTAGGATTTGAAAACTGTAGAGAAAAATAATCCTTTGTTGGATCTTGACAGCTTGATCCCCTTCCTACTGTATGTTTTGGAACTGAGAACTGCTTTCAACTGCCAGGAGACAATGGCGCCTCATGGTCTGTGGTCAACCACCATTGCTTGTTTAGTGGGCGCGTCAGGTGTCAGCCTAACTACTGGGTGGGTGGGTGGGTGTTGGGTCACGTAAAAGAGGAAGAGAGTGCATGTATGTGCCTACTGTGTCTGGGATCTTACCTGTTACACAGTAACGAGTCAAATAGGCAAGGTCAGAGGGGCTGCGGGTAGGGGTGAAATAGGTGGTGATGTTAATATTCCAGGGCCTGCTCCAGAAGGGTCGGGGCTCCATAATTCTTCACAGGGCTCTTCCTCAATTATATCATCCTCAACTTAGTTCAAAGTGGGTAGAGAGGTCCTAACCAAGTTGAGGGCAGCCTCAATCTCTGGGGAACTCGTGGGGTGTTCTTTCAGTCCTGGCACCATCAGCCAGAATGCTCTAGAGAAACCATTGGCTTCTTGTCTACAACGGAACAGACATGGAGGCAGACGGTGGCAGCAATGACATCCATAAGCCCATGTAGACTCCTAGTCAGTAGAGTTATGAAGGACCTACAGCAGGTCATCTGGGTCGGGTCTTACTTTTGGTGTGTTGTCACCATTTTACAGACAGGCCGATGAATCTCAAAGACAGTGAGTATTCCGCCCAAAGTGATAGGCCACAAGCACTGTGAACAAAGTTTTACCTACCCAGTAAAATAAGTGCCCATGTTCCAGAGGCAGTTGCTGATCAGGCTATTTTGTGTGGAATCTACCCAAAGACAACTTGAGTTGGGACTTGGAGAAAAAGCAGAGCAAAAAACCTGCGTGGGTCCTGATTAAAGTTCCTCCAAACCCGTGACTGGAGACAAGCCTGTGGCCTGCTCAGAATAATCCAACTGGACCAGCAGAGTCAGGGGGTGGATCAGAAAGTTGTAGGCTCCGTCGGTTAGTGCAGAAAATGAGAGAGGGTTTCCTGCCATCACAGCCAAGGAGGCCTAGCACTGAGGCGATTTCTGAACTGACCTGCCGAGAAGCCCGACCACATTTATAGCCCAGAAATACCTGTTTCTAATGAGGCTTCTAGAAAGCACAGGCTAATAAAGATTTTAGAGGAAAGACTTTTCCCCCTCGTCCAATTGCCCTTTTTGTTTTCTTCTTCTTTTCTGCTGGGATCCCCCCCCCCTTCTTTTTGCTGGTTCTTTCTCCTGCCCCTACAGAGCATTGGCTAGAGTGGAGCTACCCAATACAGCTTTCTGCAGTGATGCAAGTATTTTATGTCTGTAAGGCCCTGTACGGTAGCCACGTGTGCCTACTGAGCATATGCAAAGTGGCTGGTGAGACCACCATAGGGGATGGCCACCGTATTAGACGGCAGAGTCTTAAAAGTGCACTGGGCGCCCTGAAACTCATCAGAACGATGAAACATGCAGGTCCCCACAGGCTCCCAAAGGGGAGCTGGAAGGAGGTGCGGCTGGAGACTGGTGGTCAGAGTTCCCTCACAAGTCCACACGTGAACCTCTGTAGTCAAGGGTTGAAAACCCATGGGCTGTGTCTGGCCATCTCCATGATGGTTTCAGTAAAAGGGTAGTAACCTTGCCAAGCCAACATTTTTTAAATGAATCAGAGTCTGGGAGGCCAGCATAGCTGGCAGATATTTTGTAAAACTGCATAATATAATTATTCTAAGCTGCCAGGAATACAAAAATATCATTAGCAGAAATCTCTCTACCTTTGGATGTAGAATGTACTAATTAAGGTTAGAAACTATTTTCTGATGTCTCTTTTCTCAGATTAAACACAAAGTGGTTTTTTTCTCTTTTTTGCTTATGCTGGAATACCTGTCTCGTTTAAGAGATTTATTATCCCAAGAAGCTAAATTGTAAAAGTGCTTTAGCAATAATCCCTTGTTTATGTTATAAATAGTGTACCCTGCTTACACACGTGTACACGTGGGTGATGGACAGGAAAGTGGCTGAGATTTGAGCTCCTACATGCCAGGAAGAGGGAAAGGGTGGCTTATGGAAAAGTATTTTATTTTCCAAATGTGAGGGGTTAGAACTGAAGTGGCCGCAGTTTGTCAGTGGGGTGTTTTATATGGAATAACAGTTGTCGGGCTTGCGGTTTGGGTTTTTTAAGAAACAAGGGCTTGGTACGTTTTTGGTTGAGTGAATTGAGCTGAAAATGGCAAGATACTTTCTATCCATGATTGTGAACTTGGGATGGGGATAGGAGCGGCTTCCAGGGAGAACTTGACCACAGGATAGCCGTCCTATGTCTCTGAGGCCTCTCGGTTTCTGGTTCCTGAATCCATTCCAGGAAGCAAGGAGGAAGATGTGTGGGGTACAGTCAAGAAAAGAGCAACACTGGGTGCTTGCAGCCTCCAAGCAGCTCCTTCTATGGAGAGGAAGGGATGCCAATCTGTGGAGGGGGGGCTGGGCCTCCAGAGGTATTGATCATGAACTTCTTTAAGCTGCTGGAGCAGAGAGGGAGCAGAGAGAAATGGCTGTCTCACCCAAAAACCACCTGAGATTTTCCAAATCTAAATATATTTTTATGCCAGAGGCCACAGAAGAGTAAATGAGACCATCCCTGACCTTGCCATGTGCTGACTTTTAGGAATACCACATTGTGAAGAAGTCCACTCGCTCCCTAAGCACCACTCAGGTGGAATCGCCTTGGAGACTCATTCGGCCGTCGGTCATCTCGATCATCGGGCTGTACAAAGAAAAAGGCAAGGTGAGGGCCTGCCTGCACACCATTTTGGCCCCCAAGTGAATGTTAGCGTGTATTTCTTAAATGGTTAACTTTATGGCTGTTTTTCTATGAAATAAAACATAAATTTGTCTAGATTGCCTAGATTTGAGTGGATTCCCTGGCCTCCTTTCCTGTGGGCTGCTGACTGAGGTGGCCATGCCCTTTGGTCCTTATGAGGGGAGTCACCAGCACCCGGGAGCTAGGGCACAGTTGCGGCTGGAGTAGAATGCTCCAATATCTGCCACTACTGAAAGAAAAGCCACCCCTGTAGCTTCAGGGGACATATTCCCAGTTATCCCTTTGAATGAATTTCATAGCATTGCCATTATCACAAAGAGAATAATACAAATAAGTTGATATTATACAAATATCAAAACATCCATTTTGATATTATACAAAATAGAAAGACCGACACAAAAGAGTAAAATAAATATGGCACCCGAATTGTGCAAAATGACTCTCTGAGGTATTAATCCATCCATGTGAAATTGTCGTTTTTGGAGACCAAAAGTTGTCAAATACTGGCAATTTCATATGTTTGAACCGAAAACTTTCTCCCTTTAGGGTAATGCATAGCTAATGCAATGCAAATAGATCTGAGGAAGGAAGTGGAGAAGGGAACATAAACTTAAATTTATAGCTGGTTAGCTTAACTCTGAGCCTAGCTGGGAAGGAGGCCTCAGTTATAGTGAAACAAGAACGGATGTCCTCAGTTAAATACTGCAATGACAACCTGGACCCCCTTTTGCTTGGGGTGTAGGGCCTTGGCTTTAGCATTGCTGGAGGTCGAGACTGCATTCGAGGACAGATGGGGATTTTTGTCAAGACCATTTTCCCAAATGGATCAGCTGCAGAGGATGGAAGACTCAAAGAAGGTAGGAGAAAGCCTCTCGGTGGTTCTCAGTGGTGGTGAGCTCTGATTCCATCAGAATCTGCCCCCTTGCAAGATGTGAAGCCAGTAGCACAGCAGCCAAGGATGTGGGCTTGGGGGGTCAAGGAGACCTCTGCTGAACCCCAACACTTACTACTACATCATAACCTTGAGCAATTGATGTAACTTGAGCCTAACTTTCCTCAGTTTGTAAACTTGTACTATTAATACCTATCTTGAGGAGTCCTTGTGGGATTAAATGAGATGATACCGGGAATGACTTGATGTTTTTTATTTGGGTCTTTAAGTGTCTGTCTTATCCCCTTGGTCCTTGAATCATGTTCCTTGCCTTGAAAATTCTTGAGAGCTTGAGGCCATTCTTGCCTCAGGGCCAGAGTCCATATACACCTTTTATATTCTCCATAGCACCTGCCATTTTGCCATGCACAAACCTGCTAAACAAGTGCTTTTTTTCCTCCCAGCTTTGTTGAGGTGTAATTGATCCATAACATCATGGAAGTTTAAGGTATACAACATGATGATCTGATAGCCACATAGATTGCAAAACCACCGGCACAATGAGTTAGCTAGCCACCTCCTCACATCATATGACGACTGTGTGCAGTGGCGGGAGGTATAAACATTTAAGATCCACCCTCCTAGGGGCAGCCCGGGTGGCTCAGCGGTGCAGCGCCGCCTTCAGCCCAGGGCTTGATCCTGGGGAACGGGGATCGAGTCCCACGTCGGGCTCCCTGCATGGAGCCTGCTTCTCCCTCTGCCTGTGTCTCTGCCTCTGTCTCTCTCTGTGTCTCTCATGAATTAATGGATAAAATCTTAAAAGAAAAAAATCTACTCTCCTAGAAATTTTCAGCTGGACAGCACACTACTGCTAACTATGGTCACCATGCTGGACATTAGATGCCCAGAACCTATTCTTGAGTCCTGATTTTTTTCCTCCCTTCTTAACACACTCCCTTCCTGAAATGATTAAATCACACTATTTGTAGTTACCTTCAGAAATACTGTGACTGATCAGTCCAGTTGACCCAAATTATAGATACTGTTATGTTCTGCTGACTTTTTTTTTAAGCTGGTAAGAGTCCTCCTTTTTCTAGGCAGAGCTACCCTAGGAGCCCATATGCTAATGATAAGACGTGATCAGGCTTATTTTGATGGACAGAATATTTATTTCTCTCTCTCTTAGAGGAAGAATTAACTCCCAGGTGATATTTGTGTCTAGTTTCAGAACGATGTAAAATTCTAACAGAGCATTTTTATAATGGACATGCCATGTGTTCATTTGATTGAAATTCATCCTGCAATACTGGTAGAATGGAGAAAAATGGAGGAAAAATCAGTAGTTGGTAAAGATTAATGGCACTTGATTCTCCTAAATACTATTTTTTCATACGTGTTCATTTACAATAAAGATAAGTCATTGGAATGGATTTTCAGCATGTAGAATGATCTTTTAAAAATCTTGTATAGGGATTTTGAAGAGCATGAGCAATCATTTTAATGACCATATCCTTTTCCCGTGTGGAAGCAAACCAAAAACCTCACCTAGTTAGGTGACTATTTTTAAACGGATTATTTCACTTATTTTATAACTTCTGTAATTGCGTTAAAGAGAAGCATATAACAAATGCATGGGGTACGGCTACATTTTCAAGCTCCTCTACGGGATTCCTTTAATGGGATACACAGTGTGCTCCTGGTTTTAGCTCCCCATGAGAGGTGAAAAGGTGTGTTATGCTTATTTGCACTTTGTTGTAGGTAAGGGAGGTCACTCTTTCGTTCCGCACTGCTGTATGGAATTCATCTGTTCTCTCAGAGGCCCCTTTATAGTGTTTTTGACGAACAGTTTTTCCAAAAAATAGACCATGTTACAAGAGTACAAACCAAAAACTAACTCTAATAAGTCAACAGGATGTCCTAGTTCTTTTATATTCCCAGCAGACACTGTCAACAGCTGGAAAAATGACCTGATTGTACCTTCTTGGGGTTGAAGATGAGGATGAGTCCAGGATAGTTTGAGAGAGAGAGAGAGAGTGAAAGAGCAACTTGGCATTAGCCCACAGTAGTCTCTTAGATAGAAACATGTAGTAATCGACCAACTTGATGCCTGAGAACCTGGAACAGCATCAAGAAGACCAGGCATCTAGACTATTTCTGGAGGCAGGGCTGCCATTCTTAAATAACATCTCAGAAGTGTTTTGTTTTGTGTTGTGCTGTTTTGCCTCTGTTAGTAAAACCATTTTCCACATCTCATGATGATTCCCCAAGCTCAAAAATCTTTCTTTTTGCGAATATAGAAGTGACTTTGTCTTCACATGTAGCTGTATTGCCAGTAGGCTTAAGTTTTTAAACAAACACTGTAAGGAAAGACTTAGGACTCGTTATTGCTCGTTAAAGCTTAGGACACCTATTATCAAACTTGGCAATGGCTAAAGAATAGTCTTGATACATCCCCTAGTTGTTTTCATTAAAGATGGAGGTACAGAAATACTGTGAAAGAATATGCATTGCTATTAGTTGTCCCATTTTGTGAAATTCCTGGGAGCTAAACTAATGAAAGCACTTCGGAACAATAAAAATCATTTTATAGAATTGTAAATCAGGTACCATATGCTATCCTCTTCTAAATGTTAATGTAATTCTCCTGTTTGGTCACTAGGGGATGAAATCCTCGACGTAAATGGAATACCAATAAAGGGCTTGACGTTCCAGGAAGCCATTCATACCTTTAAGGTAACAACATTCTTATTTAGCTCTTTTGTTTTATTTTTCTTCCTTTATTTCCTTCTGGTTTGGGTTTGAGATTTTTTTTTCCCCACCCTTCGACCTAGGAACAGTCTGAATGTTGTAGCCCTCCTCTCTTGTATTTTCAGCAAATCCGGAGTGGATTATTTGTCTTAACGGTACGCACAAAGTTACTGAGCCCAAGCCTCACGCCCTGCTCAACGCCCACACACATGAGCAGATCCAGCTCCCCAAACTTCAACACCAGTGGGGGCAGCTCTGCAACAGGCTCAGACGAAGGCAGTTCTTCGTCCCTGGGTCGGAAGGCCCCTGGGCCCAAGGACAGAATCGTCATGGAAGTAACACTCAACAAAGGTGATACCAGCACTTCCTCACTTTCATCGTATTCTCTCGTGTAACAATGTGTAATCTCTTCTTAGGTTAACGTTTTATACTTTTTCTAGGAATTGTTCCTTTGGAACAATCTGCTGCCAACAATGTATGGTATTCTCTAAATGGACAGTGGGATCAAAAGTAGAGATTTTAGTCCTTTTAATAAAGTGAAAAGAAGTTACCACTAGCACAAAGCCTTTTAAGCTCTCCCCTGATGAATCCCGGATGAATCACTGAGTGTCAGAAACTCCTGTAAAATAATAACAAAAGTCAAAAAAATCACAGAGTAGCTTAATTCCAGGGCTAATATAAAATTTTATTTATTTATGTATTTATGTATTTATTTATGTATTTATGTATTTATTTATTTTTAAAGATTTTATTTATTTATTCATGAGAGACACACGGGGAGGGGGGCAGAGACACAGGCAGAGGCAGAAGCAGGCTCCATGCAGGGAGCCCGACGTGGGATTCGATCCCGGGTGTCCAGGATCAGGCCCTGGGCTGAAGGCGGCACTAAACCTCTGAGCCACCCTGCCTAATGTAAATTTTAAGGAACAAGGGCGTCTGGGTGGCTCAATCAAGCGTCTGCCTTTGGCTCAGATCATTATCCTGGGGTCCTGAGATTGAGCCCCACATCGACATCGACATCGACTCCTCCCCGCTCTGTGGGGAGTCTGCCTTTCCCACTCCCTCTTCCACTTCCCCTCCCCTTATTCATGCACTCACTTTTTCTGCCTCTCAAATAAATAAAAAATGTTTTAAAAAATTTTAAAGAACAAGAGATTATAGTTATATAGTTAACAACTAAAAGTTGTGGGTCTTCCTCAATTCCTGCTACTTTTCATCTCTCTTTCCTTTTTCTCTATACCAACTACAGAAATATGATGAGCAATTAAATAACCAAGAGATTAGTAGCTAAAAAAAGGCAAGTGAAGAAAACCTAAAATTGTGTATCTAGAATTAAAAAATTGGAGCCCCTGGCTGGATGGAGTGCATGACTCTTGATCTTGGGGTTGTAAGTCACATATAGCCCCACATTGGGTGTAGAGATTACTTAAAGTCTTTAAAAAAAATACATATACATATAATATATATATATTACTTTGACTCTGCCTATTTCCAAAAACAGATTTGAAGGGGCTCTTTAGACTAAGCAGAGAGCGGACTGCTGAATAACTCATAGGCCATAGTTAGCTCCTGGTTCTGCTACAGACTCATTTCGCTTACAGAGTATGATGGTATTGGGACCCCTGGGTGGCCCAGTGGTTGAGTGTCTGCCTTTGGCTCAGGTCATGATCTTGGGGTTCCAGAATCAAGTCCTGCACCAGGCTCCCCAGCAGGGAGCCTGCTTCTCCCTCTGCCTGTGTCTCTGCCCCTCTCCTCTCTCTCTGTGTCTCAGGAATACATAAATAAATAATATTTTTTAAAAAGAATATGATGATGTTGACAAAGAAAAGCAAGATTTACATTCTGAGTCTGGTCAAAAATAAAGAGTTATTGGTCTCAATATACATTAATGCAGCTTCAAATCACTTATACTTTTTTAAAAATTTTGTTTTCTCTGTCCGATGCCTGTCACAGAGCCGAGAGTTGGATTAGGCATTGGTGCCTGCTGCCTGGCTCTAGAGAACAGCCCTCCCGGTATCTACATTCACAGCCTGGCCCCGGGATCAGTGGCCAAGATGGAGAGCAATCTGAGGTTCGTTGTAAACCTGATAGTGTGGGCTTCTGGTGTGCTCATGAATTTATGAATTAATGTACATGTAAGGTATCTGCCCTATTACATCCTTTATGAGATTCTAAACTTTGGTATTATTTGCAGTAATATAGCCAAGATTACAATTAATAGCATTTCCAGGGCACCTGGGCGGCTCAGTCTGTTAAGCATCTACCTTTGGCTCAGGTCATGGTCCCAGGGTCCTGGGATCGAGTACCACATTGGGCTCCCTGCTCAGCGGGGAGTATGCTTCTCTATCTGCCTCTGCTTGTGCTCTCTCTCTCTCTTTCTCTCAAATAAATAAATAAAAATCTTTTTTAAAAAGTATTTCTGAAGGTGAAAGGCTAATCTAAATAAAATCGGATTGAACTCTGGATATTGCCTTCCCTGTTTTGATCTATTTGGACTCAGAAACTCAGTTTCAGAGACTTGACAAAATACAACTCTATATAGATATCTATGGTCATCTAAGTATTTTCTTTCATGTTTATATTCATTTATGTAAAATTCATATGTGACGCTGGGAAGCGCTCATAACCGTTCAGAATCACTGGATACGAAAGAGTCCCCAAATCATGCCATTCAACAGAAGGCCTTTATTATTAAGTATAATCTCTTAAACCTTTCCTGTTGTTTCATTCCTTTTTGAGTGATGTTGTCTAGATGCTTATTGTCTGAAATCACTGCATGTCTGATTTCTCAATCCAGATAGTTGAGTTGTAGCACGAGTATTCTGTTTATACAAGAGATGGCTAGGTGTTCTGTTATATAGTAATTGCAATGGGTCTGCGCCCACCTAAACTTCACAGGAATGTACACATATTGCATAAAACACCCTGTGCAAACAGTATCACCTTTCTCCCTCGTAACTTCTAAGTCCTTGAGCAGTTGAGAAATTGGCAAAATGACATTCCTTAAGGTTGCCATATTGGGGCTCTGTTAATAGATTATATTATGTTTTTAGTTAATCATCAGAATGAATTTCCATATAAAAAAAAATCAGCAAATCATCCAAAGTACATTAAAGAAAATATACTTTTAGAACCCCAGGAAAAAAATCCTTTAATGACATCCCAAGATGATGTTTCTTCCTTGAATGGTTCCATATGTCTGGAGCCTGCCAAATGAACATTCTTCAAACCCCACATAAAGAGTCTTTGTTCTCTCTAACTGAGTTCTCTGCCTATAATTTCAAGTCAAAATGGGCATCTTGTCCCCAATTTCTCATTTGTTCAAATTTGAAACGTTTTTACAAATTCTTGGGTAACCTTTGAGCTTCAGATATTTCCTCCTCAAATTATATTACAATAATCATTTCAAGATGGTAGGAAAAAAGAAAATGATGGTGGCCAGGGGGCTATCTTGTGGTGATCAAAGGTAGACAGACCTGAGTTCAACAGTGTGTGACATCAGGGTGACCTCTCTGAGCCTGGGGCCTTATCTAAATAATAGGAATAATAATACCTGTTCAAAGTATTGCTATGTAAATTGCTTTGTATGGTGCCTGGTTTATACTCAAGAAATGATGATCCCTGTTCTTGTCCCACTATCAACTTTATTGCTTCTGAAAATGCAGCTAGATATGCATGCTGGCTTTGTCAATTTAATGTCTAATGTGTTTATATGAATGTGTTGCTTGTTTAGCCACATGCAAAGATGAAAGGATGCCATATGCTTGTTTAAGGCATTCAGAAAAGATTTCATATTATAAACCTCTCCCAGAAGGAGATCTTGTAAAAAGCTAGCTGTTACCACAGAGTGTTGGTCATGTTGCCCTCCCTAGCCGCGGAGATCAAATCCTGGAAGTGAATTCAGTCAACGTCCGCCATGCTGCTTTAAGCAAGGTCCATACCATCCTGAGCAAATGCCCTCCAGGACCCGTTCGCCTTGTCATCGGCCGGCACCCTAATCCAAAGGTGAAGTATTTCATATTGTTCTGAGTATGGCTAGTATATTATGCTTTTAGTTAATCATCAGAATGAATTTCCATACCAAAAAAAATTTTAGCAAATCATCCAGGTGTGGATGTAGGTGTGGCTGTTTGTCCTGTAGCGGTGACACACATATTCCTATGATGATGCACGCTCTTTGGTGAGACAGTTTATACAAGAATAACTTTCATTCCCATGTCGGCTGGGCATGGGAATCATTAGCTTGTGGTCACACGATGGCCAAATAACTGATACACATGGGAAACAAATCACTAATCTGGACTTCTTCGTCTTCACACTCTTAGAAATTTTATTAGAAAATTTTGGCATTGTTATTTGTGAATATAAAGTGTGGTAGAAGGCAAGAGTACTGGGTTCTGAATAAGTCCCAGCTGGTTGTTTCATCTCTGGTAAGATACTTAACCTTTCTGGGTTTCTGCATCAAGAAGATCTGAAAGCATTGGACTAAATGATCTGCCCAGACCATCCTCGACCTGAGCAGAACACTTCTGTAATGAAGGGTTAAGCGCCTACTAATTTTTTTTTTCATCTGTACCACATTGTTGAACTTACAGATAATCATAGCCGCTGTATCCTTGGCCTTGGCTGATATTTGGTTGTATCTTTTCTATACATAAGTAGTTGCTTTTAATTTTTTTAGGTTAATCAGAGGCCACTTCAGCAAATTTGACTCTACCGGCATTCAGCACTATTTTTTGCTGTTTTGAGTACTTAATGTAAAAATCTTTTTAAATTAGCCTATCTCTAATATTGCAATCATATTGTACTTTTTTCCAAATTTAACCTTCTCCTTTCAACAACTCAAAATGCTCCTTAAGAACATTAGCTCTTTGGGACATCTGGGTGGCTCAGTCAGTTGGGTGTCTGCCTTCAGCTCAGGTCATGATCCCAGGGTCCTGGGATGGAGCCCCAAGTCGGGTTCTCTGCTCAGCAGGGAGTCTGCTTCTCCCTCTCCCTCTGCCTGCCGCTCCCCCTGCTTGTGCTCTCTCTTTTTCTCTCTCTGTCAAATAAGTAAGTAAAATCTTAAAAAAAAAAAAAAAAAAGAACATTAGCTCTTTTTATGTCTGTCATCTGACCACCTCCTCTGTGTCCTTTGTACTATTATATCCTAAATGGGCCCACGCTGCTGTGCTTGATGGACTCCTATGCCATTTTTGAGACTAAGAAGTCTGTGCAGAGAGACCTTGTGGGTCTTCCCATGTCTGAGGTTTCTTTAGTGTGTTTATTTTATGGGATCATCTTTAGTGTCCCAGGGGTTCTGTTGTACTGGTTCCCCACAGTGCTGGGACAATGGCTGCCATTAGACTGATTCAAAGTCAACTCTGCTACTATTTTTTTCCCCGGATTGTTTTTTCTTATCTATATTCATTCTCATCTATGTCTTAAATAAAACTTTTTGAATATCATTAATATAACATCAAGTCCTGCTTCTACCTATTTCCATTTTTTCTACTTGTCACTTCCTATTTTTCTCCTTTCTATTTTGTAGTCCTGATACTTTCCCTTACAACCTATTCTGCTTTATCTCCCTGCTGTCACCATGGCTCTCTACAGGTCATTTTTAACAGTATTTTGCTTCATACTCACATCTAGAGTGGTCTTGGCTCCTTCCTCCAGGGTCCTCTCTTGGATTCCATCACCTGCTTGGCCATACCTCCTCTTCGCTTCCCCCTTGAGAAGCAGTCCAGTAAGCTGGGGCTGACCTACCACATCCCTCAGCAACATTATAAAAAATTAAGTTCTCAGTGGTTTGCAGTCATTGGCTTCAAGGCATGTCTGACTTCAAAATCCATTCCAGCACAGCACAGGTTATGATTTGTTTGGAGGTCTGCTTCATCTCAGCCCAAAAGCATCTGCTAATTTGCCAATACAATCAAACATCAAAATGGCATTTCAGTGCAAAACATAATAATCCTGATGGACTGGTGGTCTGTGATCCTGTTGAATACAGGTTGATTCATGTTTCCAGCCGCAGTAATACGGTCGTTGTGATGGTGTTGGAGATACATCCAGCAAAACCAGATTTCAGTATTTGTTTGACTAGATTTCACATTTCTTCCTAGGTAAACATGGTGTTTTTAGTTGTAATATCATACTATATTTTTCTTTTGGTCAAGATTCCACTTTATATTTAATGTATTTTTATACCACTCACCCCGACATTTCATGCCAGTAGTACGTTTTGATACCAAATGTATGTGCTTCCTTAGTTTTCATGTTGTTCCAATAGAAATACCACAGGGATTTTCTTTTCTTCTGTTTCTCATAATGACTGGAGCAGTGGCTGCCCAACTGGGATATTCAAAGCCTCCAGGTCTAGACAAGCTAAGATTTGGACTTGCTGGAGGAAGGTCATAGGGGTCCATTTTTAACTGGTACTGGGGCTCTCAGCATGAATAGAATTATCCAGGAAATCTTTCACTTGTCTCAAATCCCAACCATTTTTTCCCCCACTCAGACAAACAGTTGCAAATATTGAAAGTCTAATGTCAAGAAAAATTTGCAACCACTGTCTAAGCTGATATTTTCTCTCATTTATACAAAATTATTTTTTGCTTTATGAAGTATGTGTTTGTGTAAGTATATATGGCTGTAAGCATGTATGTGTCTGTGTTTTATTTCCTGTGAGGCCTGCTAGAAAGTATTACATAAGTATGATGTGATTATGATTTATCTGTTAAGTTAAAATGTAATGCTGAATCCTGTGTGGCTTTATTTGCTTATTAAGACAAATTGCTACCTTGTCCAAATATTATTTATGCTAAATGTTATTTCTCTACACAAAATTACCATTCTAAGTTCATAGTATTCTTACCTTTAAAACAGAAACTCAGTGAAAGTTATGTAATTGTCTTTTAAAATATCTCATAATTAAGCATTTATCAGGCTTTTAAATTTTCCCCCCATGAATGACAATTATGGATAACTAAGGGGGGAAAAAAGCCATGACTTTACCATAATAGCAATAAATATAGAAAGAAAAGAGTTATAAAATGACTATTTTTAAAATTTCATTGTAAAAATTGATCCAAATAAGAATCATCAATGATGCTAAAACCATTAAGTAAAAATATACTGGGGAGCAGGATATTGGTGTTGTCTCAAGCTGTCTCCTCACAGATGTCTCACTGATGAATAAGAAAAAAAAAATCCAGTGAAGAAATCTGGTGGAACTCTATCCTAACAAGTGGCCAGGGTTATCACCAGTTATGAAACATGAAATAGTGACCCCAAGTACCTCACAGAAGCACTGGAAAGGAAACAGTTTTTGTAGTTTTTCTGCCAAAAAAATACATAATCTAAATCTCAGCATGAAGAAACTATCAAACAAATCCTAACTGAGTGTTTGATTGTCCTGGGTTTCTTCCAAAATATCAGTATTGTGACAAAGAAAGGCTAGGCTCAGCAGTGTTTTGAATTATTATTTGAATAATTTGTATTATTTGACATGACAAATAGACCCTGAAAACTTTTATAAAGCATTACCATGCAAAGGTGTTGGTTAGTGACAATCTACAAAGATCCACAAGATAAGGAGCTTGCATCAGAATGCAAATCAGTTACATCATCATGTACACTACTCAGTTTGGTGGACATCTTTCCCCAGCACAACATTGTTGGCGAAAGAAACTGAATGTTAAAAAAGAAAAAAAATAAAAAAGAAACTGAGTGTTGATAAGCATTCTGGAGGAAAAACCTATCTCATCACAAGCTGCCATCAAACTTCCTATGAACTACTTCCATCTACAGACATACGCTGAATAGCGTTTCTGAAGGGTGGTATTAGGACAGTTGGCTAAATGGAAATATGAAATGTAAATTAGTCATTTGCGTCAATGTTAAATTTCCTGGAATGGTAATAGTACCAGGGTTATTGAAGAGAATGTTCTTGTTTTTAGGAGATACATGCTAAAATATTTATGGGTGAAGGTTCATGATGTCTGCAACTAACTCCCAAAAGGTTTAGTAAAAAATTAAACAAGGATGCCTGAGTGGCTCAGCGGTTGAGCGTCTGCCTTTGGCCCAGGGCGTGATCCCGGGGTCCAGGGATCCAGTCCCACATTGGGCTCCCTGCTTGGAGCCCACTCCTCTCTCTGCCTCTCCCTCTCTGTGTGTCTCTCATGAATTAATAAATAAAATCTAAAATAAACAAACAAACAAACTGTGTGTGTGTGTGTGTGTGTGTGTGTGTGTGTGTGTGTGTGTGTGTTAAGAAAGAGCATGAGTGGGATGCCTGGATGGCTCAGCGTCCAACTCCTGGTTTTAGCTCGGGTCACGATCTCGCGGTCATGGATTCGAGCCTCTCCACTGGGCTCCATGCTCAGCATGGAGTCTGCTTCAGATTCTCTCTCCCTCCCCCTCTCCTTCTCCTCCTGCTCATGTGCTTTCTTTCTCCTCCCCCCCCCAAAAAAAACAAAATCTCTTTAAAAAAAAAAAGCATGAGTGTAAATGTGGCAGTGTTTAAAAAAATAATAGTGAAGAGTATACTCCTCTTGTGCTACTCTTACAAGCTTTATGTAGGTTTGAAATTGTTTAAATCAAGGAACAAAAGAAGTGAGTGTTTTAGAGAGAGGTGGGTACCAGCCATGTGGTTGGTACCTGTAGCACCTGAGTGCCTTAGTGAATTTGGGGACCAGCTGAAGGTCTTGCTTCGAATGCCTTTGTTGGAAGTCACCGGCTAACCCAGCTCTCCTTACGTGCCCTGGATTATTGCTTCTGAGGATGGTCATAATCTTCGATGCTGTGGTTTCCCTCTTTATCTGTACTCAGCCTCCAACTCGGGTCCTAACTACTTTGACTGGGGAAGGAGAAATAAATAAAACCATCTAATTTGTGCTTTCTGCTGAAAAACAGATTTCCGAGCAGGAAATGGATTTAGTGATCGCACGCAGCACTTATCAGGAGAGCAAAGAGGCCAGCTCCTCTCCTGGCTCAGGTACCGTATTTGTACATCTTCGTTCCACATTCAGAAGAGCTTCTCAGGAAGCTCCCCCAGGAGCCCTGCCCCGTGCAGTGCTGTTGGGCTCTCTGTCGTTATCGGGTTTGCCAGAAGTTGTTGTCAGGGAGATCTCATGCTTTCTCCTAGCTGCTACTTTTTATTGCTGCCGTTATTTACTGCACTTTATAGTACAGTTCTAATTATGCATGCTCCTCACACTATGAGATAATTTGCAAAAATGAGTTAACAGCATTTCATGTGTTTATGTGCAATTCATCTGAAATGTTCTAGGTAAAAATGAAGCAACACCAAAATATCGGTTGTTTGATAGACGGAGTGATCTCCGTACCAAAGCCTGGGGTTTCTTTACGTGAACTAAAAGTTCCCACCCCGTATGGCAGCCTTGCTTTAATGATTAGTAGATATTTTTTGAAGTTTCAACTGAAGAAGGGTAGCAGAAGCTCCCCAAATCATGATTTCCCCCTTCTTTTTTTGTTTTTAAAGATTTTATTTATTTATTCATGAGGGGATTTCCCCCTTCTTAAGGGGAAAGTTCGAGCAGAGAAGGATTGAGATAGTAGGAATTTCTGATAAGAAACATTGCGTTGAGTTTTAAAAGTAATGTTTCCGGTTGAATGGAAATCCAGAGACTCTGCAACATGTCTCAACTCAAGATATTACTGATGTCAACACTGATGCTGGGGGAGAAAAAGGAACTGAGACATAAGTTACTGGTTGTCAGAGGAAAAGGAAGGCATAGGATTTTTTGGCAACCATGTAATACCCCGATTATTTGCATCCATAATTAATACATTTCAAGTGGGCACAGCCATAATGGGCTCCTTATTCACCCAGCGCCTTCTCCTGACCTGCCTACAAGCCGTCCCCTCATAATCCCCACATACCCACTCGATCATCTAGGAAGGATTTTCTTAAGCTACCAACTTCATGCGTAAGATCTTTTTGCTCATGGCGTATAATTGAAAGTTTCAATGCCGAATCTTTTCATCCTTCTACTAAAAACCGAAATAGGCATTCAGCCCTCCCCCCAGTTCCTTCATGAGTTCCTTGCATGATGTTTCTTTGTTCATTGATCCTTCAGTCCATTCAGTGGCTACCACTGAGTACTTCCGAGATCCAGGTGCCATGCTGAGCGTTGTGGGGTCAGATCAGTGAAGGTCTCAGCCTTACAGATAAATAGTTAAGGAAGGGAGATGAGGGGCATCCACTCATAATTAAACTGTGTGTATGGAGACTGCTGTATGGGTTGTATAAAATACTTTTAAGGTTCCAAGGAAGTTACCCCAACCAGGATCATCACAGAGGCAGTAGCTCCAAGTGAGGGCCTGAAGCATGAGCAGAACCGTGGGAGGGGGGCTGGAGGGGGGCTCCCGTGCCCAGGTTAAGTGCATGCATGTCTGCACCTGTGCACATAGCCCATCGGTGTCAGCCAAGCAAAGAGGGGCTAAAATGTTTGGCTCCATCTTTCGTAGTGAAAAATGTGTGCCTGTTAGTTAGGAGGTGAGTTTTGCCATTTTGACATTATGGTGAATTTTCTCTCCAACAGGTACCCCCCTGAAGAGTCCCTCTCTGGCAAAAAAGGTGAGTCAAGGCACACAGCTGCCTCACTCGGCTGGCCCATGAATCAGTCCCTGGGGCTCCACAAGTGCAGCCTGAGGGCCCAGCCCAGGGTTTTGTCCATGAGTCATTTTATCCACTCTACACAGATGATGGCAATGATGCTAATTTGAGAACAAATACAAAAATGTGTTTCTTTTCTTAAATACTCATCTAAGAAAAGAACAGAGCAACAAAATAAAAGAACTGAGCTGCAGTTTAAAAAATAATTTTCCAACTGTTCCATACTCAAGGGCTCCCCAGTTGGCTTTCGGGGAGGACCTGTGACTTTATGGAGCCTGGAGTATTTCCCAGCTGGCGATTCCTCAATCCCAGCAGATCAGAGCACAGGATTCAGACCCCCCTCTTCTCCATTCCATCGCTAGCCTGAACCAGTGGCTTGGAATGTCATTCTATCTTCCTGTCTCTTCCCCCAGTGTTTTTCCTGGGATGGCTGATATGTTGCTGCTGTGGCATTTCTGACCATCGCTAAACAGTTGGCAAAAAAAAAAAAAAAAAAAAAAATCTCTTAACATTGTCTGGCAGCAACCGTTGCCTTTTTCATTAGTTGTTTAATTTAGCCATCCTGAAGTAAATGGAAGTGGGTGTCTACTACGGTCACTGTTGCAGATGACCAGGGATTAGAGCCAAGTGTTCTCGGAAAGCTAGGAATTCCCGTTTCAGACCATGAGCCCCTGGCAGGCCTTCCTCATCATCCAGCACCTTCTCCCCCAACAGGACGCCCTGATTACTGAAGCTGAAGCCTCCCACTACTTCGCCCACGGTGTCCCCGGCTCCCTGTCGGACTTCGTGGTGGCCGGCTCCGAGGACGAGGATCCGCCAGGCAGTGGCTGCGGCGCCTCCGAGGACAGTGGCCTGCCACCCAGCACCCCTGGTAAGCAGTGGCTCTGTCCCACCCCGGGCCGCGTCACGTTCTGTAGCAAGTGGTCTCACATGAACAGGGAACTGGGAACCAGGCCTTGGGTTGAGGACAAGCCCTCTGTCTGCGTGGCTGAAATTCCCAATCTACCTTCGGAAAGCGCAGCCCACCACTGGTGACTGGCCCCGGTCCGGGGTGGAGGGAGGGAGCGCCCATCCTGTGGCCTGATGGTTGGAGGTGGCCAAGCTGGGCAGCCTGTAGATGCGACTCACGTAGGTAGCATCGTCATGAAGTTTATGGCGTGAAGGCAGGGTGGCAACCTGCAGCCTTCTGGTTCAGGGGAATCCTGGCCAAATTGCAGGTCCCGCCCCTCACCAGGCCCTACCTTCATTCTTTTTTAGAAGACAGTGAGTGGAAGATTTGGAACCCCTAGGAGACAAATACTCTCAAACAGTTGGTTTTGAATCTCCTGGACGGTGCTCCCACTAGAGTATGAGAGAACGATCTGATGTGCACCACACTGATTCCTCGGGCTTCTGCTCGTGTGGTTGGCTTTCTCTTTTTTTTTTTTTTAAACTTCTGATGTCCGCACAAGAACATCCCTGTGCAGGGATCCCTGGGTGGCGCAGCGGTTTGGCGCCTGCCTTTGGCCCAGGGTGCAATCCTGGAGACCCGGGATCGAATCCCACGTCGGGCTCCCGGTGCATGGAGCCTGCTTCTCCCTCTGCCTGTGTCTCTGCCTCTCTCTCTCTCTCTCTGTATGACTATCGTAAAGAAAAAAAAAAAAAAAAGAACATCCCTGTGCAGACTTGACCACTCTGGCTGTCATTTGGAACAGCTGACAAGCTTACCCTTCTCTCGGCCAGAGGCATTTCAAGGTGCGAGCTCATGTGCAAGATATGAAGAGTTTGCTGAGCAGCACAAGCTTTCCCTCCTCCCAGCTTGGAATTTACGTAGATTAGAATCTCAGAAGATCATAATCTTCCCAGTACCACACTCTAAGAGCCGCCTGTACCAAGCCCCCCATCTTTGCAAATGAAGGAAGGGCCTCGTGTGATAAGAAGGTCCAGGCGTGCAAGGCTTGGCCTCCCAGCATCCTAAGAGACTTCCCTAGCAGCATCTTTGAACCCCAGCAGTGTATTAGACATCAGGGAGCTGAATTAAACATTTCTGTCTCTAGAAAGCATACATGTTTAAGCTAAACAATCCAGAGGTTGAGTAAAAAATGAATGAATGAATGCAAGCAAACAAAAAGGGAAGCCAGTCATCCACTCTGGGCAAATCCCAAGAAGCCGGATCATTTAAGCCTGGTGTTCAGTGGCCAGAGGATGAATAGCCGGCAACGGCGAACATGGGAATGCTCCTGTGTAAGAGGGGGGTTAAATGATAAAACCAGGCCAGACGGGAAACCCTATTTCATTTGGCTATTTCTTTCCCCATCCCACCAGCTCCCAGGGAACCAGGAAAACCCAGGGCCAACAGCCTCGTGTCGCTAGGAAGCCAGCGGTCCTCTGGGCTCTTCCACAAGCAGGTGACGGTTGCCAGACAAACCAGTCTCCCTGGGAGCCCCCAGGCCCTCCGAAACCCTCTCCTCCGCCAGAGGAGGGTGGGCTGCTATGACACCGACGACGCCAGTGATGAGGAAGAGTTTGACGGTGAAGGGGACTGCATTTCCCTCCCAGGGACCCTCTCTGGTCCCAGCAGGCCTCTGACGGAGGACAGCTCTAGGCACGTCCTGATGACCTCTTCCAAGGCCACAGGTCTCAACAACCAGGGTGAACATCCCCAGAAAACAATGGTCAGCAAGGCCTCCTCGGTGCCTCTCTTTGGCAGCTCCCTGAGCTTAGAGGAGAGGGTTCCAGAGGGCGTGGGGGACACTCCTTCCCATGCAGCCCACCTGCTGGCCTCTGCAGAAGCCGCCAAGGGTGGCTCTGGGTGCCCAAGGAGGAAGGAATTATCAGGATCGAGGAGTTCACCCAAATTGGAATACAAAGCCGATACCAGCACCCAGTGTCTGGTGAACACAGATACCCCCAGGCTCCCCCAGCAGAAGAATGACAACCTGGGGTCCAGGCACAAACCAGTGGCCAGGGTCAGCCCACACCACAAGAGGCCCGAGGCTGACGCCAGGCCCAGCAACCCAGAGACAGCGGGCCTGACTGATGGAACCGATGACCCATGTGTCCAGGCCACTCCGGTCAAAGAGATCAGGACTGGTTTTCAGCCAGGCGGAACTGCGGAGAAGGTAATTGCTTTCCTCTTCGTAATTTGGGCCTGGGGTGTATGAGAAAACAGAGGGCAACCTGGCTGGAGGGGGGATGGCGGGAGGCTCGTCATTCATTTCCATTCTCAGATGGCTCGGAGCCAGTGTATCAGCGGGCTGGTGGGGGACCCAGGGATCAGGTCATGGATCATCCTGTCAGAAGATGAAGTCACTCTTACCTGGACACGGGGCCATGGTGGATGAGGGAAGGGCAGCGGGAGGCTGGTGAAGAACACTGGGTCGGCTCCCCTGACGAGTTGGGTGACCACTGGGGCAAGTTATGGAGTCCTCGTGAGCTGCAGTTGTCTGGACCATTGAGGACGGAGTGCTCTCTCCCCAGAGCTGAGGCGACCATCAAACACAGGCTAACCGTGATTCTCTCCAGCTCATGAGGTTCTGAGCGATCCTTATTTTTTCAGACTTTCTACGATGATTATGTGTAATCAAAGCTACTCATACCCTTCTTGTGAGAATCACATGAAATAATGGGCGTGCATTATTAAAAACTGATCACGCACTGGGGCACCTGGCTGGCTCAGTCGGCGGAGCATGTGCCTCTCCATCTCAGGGTTGTAAGTTCGAGCCCCATAGTGGGTGTAGAGATTACTTAAAAATAGAATCTTAAAAAAAAAAAAACTTAGAATGCACCACTTTAGATGCAAGTCAATATTATTTATGTTCCGACTTGGTTACGCATACACTAGAACGACCCAGAATTGTCCAATTGCTCGTTTTTAATCACTATATATACCTCCACTTAGGCAAGGAGAGAGTAAGAGAAACTAATGTTGTTTACAATCTCAACATAAGTAGTTTCTCTCTGAGGCGGTTGTAAGTCCACATTTGTAAAGATGCATGTTCAAGTGGTTTATGCAAACATACGTGTAAACAGACATAGAAAATATGAAGTCATAAAAACTATATTAGGCAGAAGGGATTTTTGTTAACTGTATAGAAAAAGGAGAAACACACCTTTCTTCATCCTCCTAAAAAGTGTTATTACTTCAAACTAGCGTGTGTGTTTTTTTTTAAGATTTTATTTATTTGAGAGAGAAAGTGAGCGAGCACGGGTGGGGGGAGGGGCAGAGAGAGAGAGAGAGAGAAGGTGACTCCCCACTGAGCAGGGAGCCTGACTTGGCTTCCCATCCCAGGACCCCGGGATCATGACCTGAGCCAAAGGCAGAGGTTAACCAACTGAGCTAGCCAGGTGCCCCTAGCATATGTGCTTTATTTATTTTTATTTTTTTATTTTTTAATTCTAATTTTTTTTTTTGCATATGTGCTTTAAAACACAACATTTATTTAGGAGGTTAACCCCCTCTTTGAAAAAGTATCCTCAGCCAGTTTTGGATAACTATAGAAAACTATTTAACAGGGGTTCGATTCATAATAACATATAGAGAGCTTTTGTCATTGTGAATGAGTATTTCCAAGAAGAATTTGTTTTTTCAAGAAGAATTTTGAGAAGCACTTAAACTTTGCAGAAAAGTTTTAACTCTTCTCATAAAAAATTTAGCTGAAAAATATTTCATTTATTCATGAGAAAGAAAATAAACTGCATTGCCATTAAGTATTTACCTTCAAATATTGGAATCTTGAAAAAATGTTTGGTAAGTAAGTTGTCTTCTACAGTTTTTATTTAATACTTTTTAAATTGAGATGAACATCACATAACATAAAATTCAACATTTTATTTTATTTTATTTTTTAAATTCAACATTTTAAAATTCAGTTCAGCTCTCTTCTCTGCTGCCATCTTTGGGCCATTTTATGACTCCGTAACTCAGAGGGTGAATTTCAAATCAATCTGATTTAACTTCTTAGTGAGATGTTTTTTTGTTTTGTTTTGTTTTTACAGTAGATTTTAGAAGAAGGGAGGATAAAGTAATTGACACTTGGCTGAAGTGAAATTTTGAAATATTAAATGTCAATTTCATTTATCCAGAGGAGTCGTAGCCCTAAGTGCCAAACCGAGGAGCTGATCCTACTGTCTTGGATATCACCATGCAGTGTAAAGATAATAATATCTTACATCTATACAACCTTTCGTGGGCTGCATGTGGTTTTCAGAATGGCTCATGTAATCATCTTTTATTGAAAACTATGAGGGGCACCTGGGTGGCTCAGCAAGTTAAGTGTCTGACTCTTGATTTTTGGCTCAGGTCAGGATCCCGGAGTCCTGGGACGGAGCCCGCATTGGGCTCCCTGCTCAGCGGGGAGTCTGCTTCTCCCTCTACCCCTCCCCCTGCTCGTGCTCGCTCTCTGTCTCTCACACACACACACTCACTCTCTCAAATAAATAAAATCTTTAAATTAAAAAAAGAAAAGTTGGGACCCCTGGATGGCTCAGCAGTTGAGCCTCTGCCTTTGGCTCAGGGCGTGATCCTGGAGTCCCGGGATCGAGTCCCACCCTGGGCTCTTTACAGGGATCCTGCTTCTCCCTCTGACTGTGTGTCTGCCTCTGTCTTTCTCTGTGTCTCTCATGAATAAATAAATAAAATCTTTAAAAAAATGAAACTCTATGAGTTAGGGTAAGTCTTATACCCATTTTGTCCCCGATTTTTTACAGTGGTAAAATGCTCGTAAGGAAAGTATACAGTTCTGTGGTATATGCTCGTAATGTGCGACCATCACCACCATCGCCAGAACTCTTCATCTCGTGAAATGGAAATTCCGTACCCCTTATACAATAACCCCCCATTCCCCTCCCACCAGCCCCTAGAAGCCACCCCTCTACTGTCATATCTCTGGTGACGACTCTCAGTACCTCATATAAATGAAATCAGATAGGATTTGTCTTCTCGTGCCTGGCTTATTTCACTTCACATAATGTCCTCAAGGTTCATCCCTACACACCCCGTAGCATGTGTCAGAATTTCCTTCCTTTTTAAGGCTGAGTAATATTCCACGGTGTGTCTGTTGCGTATTTTGCTTAGCCATTCATGTATCAATGGTGACTTGAACTGCTTCCATATTTCAGCTATTGCAAATAGCGCTGCTATAAACGTGGGAGTACGCATATCTCTTAGAGAACCTGCTTTCACTTCCTCTGGGTATATACCCAGAAGTGTGATATCTGGATCATATGCTATTTCTATTTTTATTTTTTTGAGGAAACTCCATAGTGTTTTCCAGAGTGGCTGTACCATTTCCCATTCCCGCCAGCAACACGCAAGTTTCCAGTTTCTCTATATCTTCGCCAACACCTGTTATTTCTGTTTTGGATCATAGCCACCCTTGTGGCGGTGACGGGACGTCTCCGTGTGATTCTGATTCGCATTTCCCCGATCACCCTCATTTCAAAGTTGAGAAAACTGAAGCTTAGGAAGAGTGACAAAATGGTGCAATTTCTAGGGGATCTGACACCCAGAGTCCAGATCTTGTGGCTCCTAGGCGAGGACTTCCCTGAAGTTCCCCAAAGCAGCTCTTCCGCGTGTGTGCTGTCTTAGAGGACAGAAAACCTGAAAGCTGCCGACAGTCACTTGTGCTTGTCATTGTGCCAGGAATCCCTGGGGAAGCTGACCGTCCAGGAGGGGCATGTCCCTGCCACCTGGGGGCCAGCCAGTGCCCCGCCGCACCCAGATGCCGGCCACTGCACAGAGAACCTGCTCGGAGCTACACCAGAGCCAGGGCAACAACCTGGGACAGGTAAGATGATTTTATTGCTTGTTAAGCTTCAAGATGGGAGGGCCGAAGTTTACCCTAATAAAAATGTTACATGTGGAGAACTTTGAGGGGGAAAAAACCTTACACAGATGAATGATTTTTACAAGCTGCCTGCATTTCACAACTTGACTAGATCATGGTGCCTAAGCTCAGAGTTTTCATTCCACATCAGGCTGTGCCCATTTCAGCCGGCCGATGCCCTTTACCTACTTCGTGATGGGTACTTGAATGAATGAGACATGAGATGACAGAGAGGTCCTGCCCTTCAGAATTTCACCGCTTGGCTTGCGTGAAATCAAATGCACCAAGAAATATTTTTTACCTCCTGCATCCGCAGAATATGTTTGAGCAGCGTGCTGAGGTCAACGAGATGCTCCTGGCCTGCGTGGCTGGCGCTGGCCCTGGCAGGCCGTCCTGAGCACTAGTGCGTCTGTCTCAGCACCTCTGCGACCCCTGTCTAGCTAGGAAACTGCACCGATGTCCCCTGTGTCCTTCTGCACCTGCCACATCGTTTGCAGGGCTGCTGGGCCCTCCTCCCCCTCATGGAATATAATTGAGTCAACATCCTTTCCATTCTGGGACATTTGGCAGGGGACGGGGTTTACAAGTGAAGGATCTTTTTTTTGGGGGGGGGTGGGTGGGAAGGTCTTAAGAATGATTTTGTGGTGTTTTAAAAGTGAAGGAAACAATTGTTCTTGTACAAAAACACTCTCAATTAACATTATATAGAGGCAGACATGCTACTTGTCCATCTCAGTGAATTACAGCATCAAATCCCGCTAAATTCCTTCCTGAAGGATCATTTTGAAAGGTGACATCAGGGAGTGCCTCCATGTCATTTAATCCCCCTCAAAAACTGCTTTTTTAAGTTACACACTTTTCAATGAAGTCAAATTGCTAACAAAATGTTATTTGTTCAGCAAGTGACTCTGAAGCTGAAGAGCAACCTTTTAAGTCCCCTCCTTCTAAGTCTCACTGCGACTTTTCCCCGTGGTTGGCACCAGCAGAAGCAGGAAGGTCATTCTGAAGGGAGCTCAGAAGGTTGAGCAGAGAAGGACAGGAGCCCGTGGATTCACATCTTGGCATGTCCCTTGCCTCCCACGGGGACCCGGGGTTACGTACGCTCTCCACGGGTGTCCCGATGGGCCAACCTTGTTGCTGCCAGGTGCTCTCTACACAGAGGTCATGCAGTCAGGGTCTAGATAATGGGCTGGGCTGTGGGGCCGACTTCCCAGGTGACCCCTGGCTATAAACTCTGTGCCCCTGGATCTGTTGCTAACCCACTCTGTGCCTCAGTTCTCCACTGCTCCAGAGCAGATGGTGACAGGACCTACCTCACAGTGTTGGGAGGCAAATTAAGTGCATGAGAAACTCTTAGCACAGTGCTGCGTCCTAACAGTTAGTCTTTGTTGAAATAGGAACTTCAGGAGAGGAAAGGCATATGCGATTAAGAGGATTTGTGTGGGAGATGTGGAGGGCATATAACACTTGGGGAGACAGTCTCCTCAAAGCAGGTGCTTCCATTGTGACTGTTTCACTATAACCCAGAATCCTAAGAAAATAGCAAATCTAATGTTCTTTTTTATGCCAGTTTCCTTTGATTATAAGATGCCACGTGCCAGAGGCAGACAGATTAGCCCGAGAGTGTGCAGGGCCCTGTAAGGAGGCACCTCCAGGACAGTGGCTCTCCAGAACCCACCTCATACATGACTTCATTCCCTGCCGTCCCTGCACCGACACCTTTCCCTGCACCCCTCGGACCACATGCTCTTTCCTCCCTGCTTTCATTCCGTTTTCTTCTTCATCATCACTGTGTGGTCACCTCTCCTGCCCGCAGGCCCCTCCGGTCCCCACCCCCCTGTCCAAGCTCCCCAGATAACGGGGCCTTCCATTCCTCCCAGTCCTCCTAGTCCTCCCAGTCCTCCCAGTCCTCTGAACACATTCGAGGCACAGCTAAGGCACAGTGCGGACTTGCATCCTTCTGCAGCTCCCACGTGTCTTCCCAAGTTAGCCTCGTCTCTCCTCTCCTGCTCTGAGTCCTGAGTCCCCAGAGGTCAGCACCCGATGGTTTTGTGCTTCACTGTACGGCTCACAACCCGCACCTGAGGCCAAACCCATGATGAGACTAAACCAGCGACCCACACCCTCTGCAGAGTGAACACAAGAGCTCAGGGACCACAAAGAACAACAGCGGGACTCCTGAGGCTTTTGCCATCAGGGCAGATGGTGTAAAGAGCCCCGGCTGAAGGATTTCTGGTGTCCCCATTCTTAAAAATAACCGAGAGAGAGAGAGAAGGGCAGAAACCAAGCTTTACCCTGCCCGCCAGTCTCCCTCAGAGCCCCCAGAGCAGGGTGGCATTTGTTAGAGGCGAGTGCTCTGTAATTCCAGAGCCAAAACAGAACAACAAGGAGGCAACATTTAGGCTGTGGAAGCTCTTTCTGAAAAAAACAAAAAACAAAAATTTGATATTGTTTAGTTTTCCTTTTTTTTTTTTCTTTTCTAATTGGGAGTTTCTCTGTTTTCTCACGTTTCCCCCCCCCCCGTCACCCCACCTTCCCCCTCCCTCTCCCCTGTCACCCCACCTTTCATTTACATTCTCACCCCAGGACTGGACGGCCCCCCGGGGCAGAAGGGGGCAGCTCACCCTGACCCCGGCGAGCCCTCGGCGGACACAGGGCACGCCAGGCGGCCTGAGGACCCCGGAAAGCCAGTGGGCCTGGGGGGTTCTGAGTCCGAGGACAGAGGTCAAGTCAGACTCGCCCAGGAGCACGGTTCGTCCCCCGGGAAGACGGCAGCCCCAGAAGCCAGCTCGCCCCGGAGGGCTGCTGCCCACAGGGGAGGACGCGAGGCAGAGGGAGCGTCTCCAGGCAGCACCGTCCTGGCTCGAGGCCTCCTCGTGTCCCAGGAGGACACACAGAGGGTCCCCGGGGACCACAGCAAGGCTCCGCACACGACGGGAGTCCTCGTCCCTGAAGCCCCCCGGGGCTCGGCTCGGCTCCAGGACGCGGACTCCGTGTCCCAGAGGGCCCCGCAGGCCTGCCCCGCTCCGCCGTCACCTGCTGACAAGGCCGAAGGGGCGTGTGGCGGCGTCTCGGGGCACTGCTGCCCCGGGGAGGGGGGGGGCAGCCCCGTGACGGACATCGACAAACTCCTCAAGGAGCTGGGTGCTTCCGACCCGAGACTTCAGTCTCCTCAGAAAGGGGACCGGGGGAGTCAAGAGGGACGTTCTCAGGGCCAACCTCCAGCCGGCGCTGGAAGCGGAAGTTGCCGCCACGCGGAGCCAGTCGTGGGCAACCAGACGCCCACCCCGAGGAGGGCCTGGGCAGCTGCTGGCCAGCCCCCTCACCCACCGTGGGCCTCCCAGCCTTCAGTTTTAGATTCCATTAATCCTGACAAGCATTTTACTGTGAACAAAAACTTTTTGAGCAACTACTCTAGAAATTTCAGCAATTTTCACGAAGACAGCCTGTCCCTGTCGGGCCTGGGTGACAGCACAGAGCCGTCTCTCTCATCCATGTATGGCGATGCGGAGGACTCATCCTCTGACCCCGAATCCCTCACTGAAGCCCCACGAGCTGCCACCAGGGACAACTGGTCACCTCCTCGTTCTCGCAGGGCTTCTCACAAGGAAGATACTGCAGAGTCTGAGGAGGAGCAAATTGAGATTTGCTCTACAAATGGTTCCCCCAATCCACCCTCAGCTACTGCCCATGCCCCTGCCCAGGCTGCACCCTGCCCTGTGCTGGCCAAAGTTCTGCCATTAAAGCACAGTGCTCTGAGTCAAGTGGTAGGAAATCCATGTGAGAGGGCGTCCTTTGTGCCAGGAACCTCACGCCTTTCAATTCCAAACGCTTCCCAGCCATTCTCTCTCTTGGACGTCAGCTCTCAGGAGCATGACCGCCATGCAGACAGAAGGATATCCCAGAACCCCGGGCCCTCATGTGAAGAAATCGTGGAAGCCACCGGCGCTAGCTCAGCTGTGGAAAGCAGCCAGCCTCCTAACGCCGCCAGGCATGTTCACAACCTTACCGTCACTCTCAGCAATCTGAACATGGTAAATGGTCTAGGACACGAATTGCTGGGTAACGAAATCCCGCATAAAAAACAAGAGACAACTGTCAGTGCAACTGAAAACCGGTCCCCCTTCAGTGGGGATGTCCCCAAGAATGGGGAGTCTCTTTTGGCCAATCTGCACATCTCCGAAAGTGAAGACCTGGATGATTTGCTACAGAAACCAAAAATGACCTCCAGGAGGCCCATCATGGCCTGGTTTAAAGAAATAAATAAAAATAACCATGGTACGCATTCCCAGGGCAAAACTGAAAAGGAGCAACCCGTGGTGCCCGCCAGAAGCCCCGACTCCAAAGGTCAGGTGTCGGGCTCCAGCCACAGAAAGGGGGTTGCTGGGCCTCAGAGCCCTCTTCAGCCAAAAGTGAGCCTGGAAAATAAAGACCCACCTAAAAAAGGTGCAGTGGAAACACTTGTAAGTAACGGCCAGAAACCCAAATCCGGTCCTAAGCTGAAGAGACTGAGCATCAAAAGCAAAAGCAAAGCCAGTACGGAGGCCCCTGTGGCCAATATGGCCAAGGCTGGGGGGGCGGACCCCAGGAAACCCCTCATTTCACCCCAGGCCTCCCACAGAATGCTCTCTAAGGCAGTGGCCCACCGGGTCCACACGCCTGAGCACCAGGAGCCCGACCAGGACGGCCCGGCCTCCCCGCGGCCTCCTCCGAGCGGGCTGGAGAGCGGGCCGCCCGCCGCCCCGGGCTCGCCCAAGGCCCCTGCGGCCGAAATGGGCACCTGGGCCTTCGTGGCCCCCCACGCCGCCGCCAAGGCCCTCCCTGAGCAAGGCGTGTGCGGCAGATGGCATGCGGCCGCCCGCCCGGAGCCCGACCCAGCGTGCCCCGCCTGCGGCCCCGAGAGCAGGCCGCCCCCTGCAGCCCCGGGGGGCCGCGTGGCCTGCGGCCTGATGGATCCAGCGCCAGCCGCGGCCCAGCCCGGGCCGCCGAGCGACAAAGGCAGCAGAGTCCTCGCCGCCGGTCCCCGCGAGCCCCTCGAAAGAACCAACCAGCTGAAAATAGTTGACATTTCCTCTGAAAGGATGCCCAAGGTGGCCTGTGGCGACAAGGCCGCGGGGAGGGACCGGCTGGGAGGGCTCTTGGCCCAGGGCGAAGCCAGGCCCAGTCAGCCGTCAGGGGAGCCGACGCCCAGGCGTCCCTCGTCACTCCCGCCCCGCGCCTCCCAGCTGGAGCAGGACACCCCGCGGTCCTGCAGCGCCCCGAAGCCCTGCGACTCCCCCCGGGCCAGGTGGGGCCAGGCGCCCGGCTCCCCGGGGCCGCCCAGGGGGGGCGCAGCCGCGGGCCCGGCCAGGCCGGCAACCAGGACCTACTCCATGCCAGCCCAGTTTGCCAGCCACTTCGGACGGGAGGCGCAGGCCAGCAGCGGGGGCCCCCCGGAGGCCCGGGCGTCCCGAGGCGGGGTGCTCGGCCTGGCCGACGGGCAGGGCGTCTACAGCGTGAAGCCCCTTCTGGAGACCTCGAGGACCCTCCCGGCCACGGACGGCGCAGCCGCCCTCTCGGTGCAGGAAAGCAGCTGCCAGGTCACAGACAAAATCAGAGTCACCAGGAGACATTACCACTCGGAGCAGAACTACGAATCTACCTCATTTTTCTCTGTGAAGCAGAGGATCAAGTCTTTCGAGAACCTGGCCAACTCCGACCGGCTGGTGGCCAAGTCCGGCGCGGCCCCGTTTCTGTCGGCAGGCGGCAAGCCCCCCGTCGGGAGGCGGTCGTCGGGCAGCAGCGCTTCGGGGAGCCTCGGCCACCCTGGCGACCCGACGGCAAGGTCGCTGCGACGCAGCCTGAGCTCCTGCAGCGAAAGCCCCAGCGAGGCGGGCGCCCTGGGGCCGCAGCTGACCAAGTCCCCGTCCAGCACGGCGCTCACGGTGCCCCGGCCGCACGCAGCAGCCGCTGGGGACCAAGGCCCCGACCCGGACCCGAAGGGATGGCTCGGGCCCCCCGGCCCCCCCGGCCCCCCCGGCCCGGCTGCCCCCGCAGCCTCACCCGCCAAGAGGGGCAAGTCGGCGGGCCGCCGCGCGCAGCCCTCGCCCCTGTCCCGCTCCAAGCTGCAGGAGCTGAGAGCCCTGAGCATGCCCGACCTGGACAAGCTGCGCAGCGAGGACTTCCGCGCAGGGCCCGCCGCCGTCCTCTTCAGGACCGAGCTGGAGATCGTCCCCAGGAGGCCGCCGGCCTCTGCCGCCGGAGGCCTCAACGGGCCCACTGCCCTCTCGTGCCCCGTGCGGCCGGCGCCCGGGGCCGGTCCCGCGGGGAACAGCCCTAAGGCCGCGGAGCCTGGAGCCCCCAGCTCGGTTCACCTCGCGGGTGAAGCCGCCCGGGATCTGCCTTCTGGAAAAGGCTGGTCAGTTAAGTAAGTATCTGCCTGTTTTATTCGAACAAACATTTTTTTTTTTTTTTAAGAATTACAAACCAGCTTGAGATTTATAGAAAAGTTGCAGAGAGAGTGCGGAGAGCTCCCCTGTACCCCTCGCCCAGCCCCTCCCGATGCTGACACCTTCCCTAATCCTGGGTCAAAAGAATCCTGGCAATCCTGGATTGCCGAAAATCCAATCCTGGCAAAAGAAACTAACGCAGGAAGAACCCAGAGAGCTAAGCCGCAGGCTTCATCAGATTTCACCGACCAAACTTCACTACCGTCCCTTTCCTCTTCCAGGATCACGCATGACATTGAGCCCCCTTGGTTTTTAATATCAGTACTAGAAAATAGTAGGGTCTGCAGGAGGGTGTTTCTGCCAGAATGTTGCTCTGCAGAGAAGCCTTAATGGGACGTGGCGCTTAAGAGCAGCCACCATCAGACATGAGAGCGGACAGGGCAGGCCCCGCCTCAGCTTGGGACAGTCGGGACCTTCGAAGGTGACCAGAGTTAAGCAGAAAATTTCTAATGTATCTTAAAGGGTATTTTTTCATGTCACATTTTCTGTTGAGGGCAGCCCGGGTGGCTGAGCGGTTTAGCGCCACCTTCAGCCCAGGATGTGGTCCTGGGGTCGTGGGATCGAGTCCCCGTGTCAGGCTCCCTGCATGAGGCCTGCTTCTCCCTCTGCCTGTGTCTCTGCCTCTCTCTGTGTGTCTGTCATGAATAAACAAATAAAATCTTTTAAAAATTAAAAAAATAAAATAATTTAAGAAAAGAAATTTTCTGTTGAGCTCCAGGATTGGTTCCTTCACATCCAAGGGATCCCAGAAGCCAGTCACTCCTAGTGCTGCTGGCGGTGAATGAAGTTCCTCCTGTTCAGCGCTCAGGATTCTTCCCATAGTTTTTTGTTTGTTTGTTTGTTTTTTTAAGATTTATTTATTTATTCATGACAGGCACAGAGAGAGAGAGGGGCAGAGACACAGGCAGAGGGAGAAGCAGGCCTCATGCCGAGAGCCTGATGTGGGACTTGACCCAGGTCTCCAGGATTGAGGCCTGGGCCAAAGGTGGCGCCAAACCACTGGGCCACCGGGGCTGGCCTCTTCCCCTAGTTTGAATGGAGAGTTACGCTGACCAAAATACAGCCTGACAATCAGAAAATGCCTGCAGTTTGGTGGAAAGGAGAGATCATTTTAAACACGTCCTTAAGAAATGGAAAAATGGCCTTTTTCTTTAATGTTCTTCAACCATATCTCTGTCTTTAGTCTGGATCAACTTCTCGTCTCCACGGGGGACCAGCAAAGACTGCAGTCTGTTTTATCATCGGTGGGGTCAAAGGCCACCGTCCTAACTCTCATTCAGGAAGCGAGAGCACAATCAGAGGTGAGTGAACCGGGACAAGCCAGGGCCAGGCAGCGTCGGGGGGCGTGCGGCCAGGTGCCCCCAACCCCACCCCTGGCGCCCCAAGAGCCCAGGATTGCTCTGCCCTGTCCGTCCGTGCAGGCGGGTCTGCCGCAGGGTCTGACTTCCCCCTCACTTGCAGCTTGCTCCTCAAGCTACACCTCGTCCTGAAGTTCAGGGGCCAGATCTGTGCAGCTGCTGTTTTCTTTCCCCACTGGTGACTGGTTACCATCCTCCTGACCCCCACACCCGGGTTGTCTGCCCGGGGCCCTCAGAACCCAGCTAGGCAGCTTGGAAATGCGAGGGAATGGCCACAAGCAGGTCTCTCTGCGCCTAGGTGGACGTTAACTACTTGTCAAGGGAGCCACCTGCTGGGGAAACGGGTTAGCGTCTGCGTGGCCCTACCTGGGCCCCCGTGTAAGAGCCTCTGAAGCCTGGGGTGCAAGACCATGTGGCTAAAGGGTCCTTCAATAAATTGGAGGTGACGGTAAACAACAAAAGAAGCCGTGGGTTCATATCTAGAATACGTCTCTGAAGAATAACGTTAATTTCCCAGGACGGCCCACAGAGATTTGAACCCCTAATAAATGAATATTTCTATTTAGAGGCAAAAAGCAAATATGAATTTTTCTCGACGGGTAATACGCCTGGGTCACTGACAGATCCGAGAACACTGTTCCAGAAATTCTAACATTACCCAGAGGGGCTGTGACGTTGGCATCTCCTGGGGAGTGAACCAGGATGGACAGGGGACCGGTCGCCCTTAGCCCGTTCCCGCTCTGGTCCTCAGCCTACTGGTTTGGGTCTGCACGGTTCACATTCAGACGTCCAGCATTTTTCACTTTCGGTAAAAGGGACTATGCTGTCATTTCCTTTCTTCCTTCGATTTGTTGTGACAGTAAGTACAGTAAGTACGTGGCTCCTGCACGCAAGTCCTGTCCTGGCATTTCCAGTCACGGTGGCACGGGGGGATCACGCTCTGCCAGGTAGACATTCTGCAGCGTGAGATAAAGCGTAGAAGGAGAAAAGGAGAAAGTCTCAAGCAACCTCACAGATGAGATTCACACATTTTCATGGACCACAAACAAAATGGGAGACTCTGTGTGTGGACAGGAAGGGGACAGAGCGCCTCCCCGGAGTGGGGGCACAACCTGGGGCCTCCCACGCCCCTCGCTCCGGTCCCACACTCACCACCAGACAAGAACTGAGGTTTCACGTGGAAGGGCCTTCCTCCTTGGGTCAGAAGGCGGCTTTCCCCCTTCCTTTCCTGCAGCCTTCAGTTGATCTTTGAGTGAGTGTGGTTTTGTGGGTGCCAAAAGTGGGACTGCACACAACGATTCCCCCGTGGCTTACTGTAGGGGGGAGACCGTAAGCGATCAGAGGCCAAAACAAGCCCTGGTCCTCTGGCCCCAACACACTCAAACCTTGGGGAGCTCTTGGTGATGGGTGTCGCTTCCCTGATGCTGTGCTAAGCTGCTTAGAGGCCAGATTTGGCCTGACAGCTAGGGCACTTGTATCCTCAAATGCAACCAGGAAAAAATTTTTGAGTAGTTAAAATTGGGGTATTATGTCCTAGAATGCAAGAGAATCCCATTTTCAAATATTCCCTATTTTGGGATCAAACATTACCTCCCAGAAGCTACACAGAAGTCAGGTACCAGAACCCACGCTCCCATTTTCACGGAGAAAGCCTCGTCGTCCTCATCCCCTCCACTGAGCGGTGTCTGACCGGGTGAACGGCAGGACTCGCTCGTAAAGTCAAAATCCCCCCAGAGGTCTGCCCAATATTCTAGTGTCAACGTATGGAGATTTGGTTTGAATGAACTTCTTTAGGGAGGTGTGAATGCACAGGGGTTACCCTTTAGGACCCACAAATAGGACTAAAATGACTTTTAAATATTGGCTTCCTTCCCCAGCGTAATATGGAGCTGGTTCTCTCTTTCAATGTTTTCACTCTCTCGCCAAAGCAACCTTTAAGCGTTATTGTTCAATTCTTTTTCTGTTGCTGGGTTGAGAACACCTTGAATTGATAGATTATAAATCACTTCATGGGGCCCTAGCAATGCAGATCTTTAAAATGTTGCTAAATCATATATACAGCATGTGGGCAAAGGAAGTCAAAATTCAGATTAATTAGCCCAGCTTCAATTATTTTAAAATGTTTTATTTCAAGGTATCTTTTGTTTGATGCTTGAAACATAGGGCAGTCTTCTGTTACTTAACCCTAGGACATGACTAGGAATGTTCTAGTCTCAATACAGGTTGACAGTTTTAAAGTACCTTATGGTTTTTTTTTTTAACATACTTTGTATTTTATCACCACCACTTTATTCCCTGCACCTGGAATCCAATGAACTGAACATGGCAGGAGGGGGACATAACCAACGGCCTCAGTGGGCTCTCATCCTGTGGCAAACATCTCTCTGCTGCTGTTGACACTGACTTGGCTAAACCGTAGACTTCAACAGTAGAATAAAGAAGCCCCTTCATGATCAGATTATGTGCTATGATCAGATTTGGGAAGACACAATCTGGTGCCTAGTATAGCTCCTACGTTTGTCCCCTGCCCCTGCCTCACCCTGGTCCACGTCCACCCTGCCAGCAGTTCCATAGCTACAGGATAGATCTTCAAAACTCTATGTCAGCACCACCCAGGAGGGGTGCACGATGGTTGGGAAGAGATTCCTCCGATTCCAATATGGTGGGAAAACTCTAGAATAACCACTGGGGTTCATGGCGACCAGCTCTGCAGCACTGCAAGAGGACTCACATCGGAGCTTCCTAACTCTTGGCACAAGGAACGTGCAGCTGACTCTTGAACAACACAGCCCCACTGATGCACGAGGTTCTACGGCACTATAAATGCGCTCTCTTCCTTAGGATTCTCTTAATCACATTCTTTTTCTCTAGCTTTAGGAATAGAGTCTACAACACAACATAGAAAAGATGTGTTAGCCGACTGTTCGTGTCATAAGTAAGGCTTCCAGTCAACGGCGGGTTATTAGTAGTTAAGTTTTAGGGACAAAATTATATACAGATCTGACGGCGCAGAGGTCGGTGAGCCAACCCCCGTGCTATTCAGCGGCCAACTGTACTTTTTTCTGTTTCTTTTTTTTTTTCTTTTTTCTGTTTCTTTTTGCTAGAACAAAGAAGATGTTTGCTTCATCGTCTTGAATAAAAAAGAAGGCTCAGGTCTGGGATTCACTGTGGCAGGAGGGACAGACGTGGAGCCAAAATCAATTGTGGTAAGTGACAAAGTCAAGATGCTCTCATGAAAGCCACTCCCAAAGCAGCCTCATGTGTGATCAGGACAAAATTCAGGTCAGCGAGTTCAAAGAATGCTGGTGTTTGTTTCCCCCAACAGGACAAAAATGGAAAAGTGGGGGAAAGTCGTACATAATCTAGTCATTGGCGGAGATGCACATTTTTACCACAGAGCTGACTGACGCACAGACCAAGCGACCTAGTCGATGCCAATACACAGAAGCACACTTTTCTGTGGTAGCCTCATATTCACCTGAACACTTTGTTGAAGCACTAGAGAAACACTAGGATCAACCAAACCTACGTGCACTTCTGAAATTACTTCCCCCTCAAGAACAACCTAAAATTTTAGATCATGCAAAGGCCTTTGAGATCATTAGGGAGGCCACCGTCATGAGACAAGACCAGGTCCTGTTTGGTTTTGTATTCTTATTGCCCCACGGAGCACCAGGCACATATTAGACGCCAGCAAGAAGTTGAGGAAGAAATGTAGTCAGATGCTGACACTGACGTTTCTAATTCCATCTCTCAGGCTTTCAATAAACCACATTCGTATGATTTGAAAAACTACCATTAGAAAGTTCCTTGACTATAGATTTGCAGCTACCCTTTCGCTTCTCCTGGAGGTTATAAGTGACTCTGGTGTTTGTCTTCTCCTCACCTCAGGTGCACAGGGTGTGTTCTCAGGGGGCTGCTTCTCAGGAAGGGACTGTGAACCGAGGGGATTTCCTTCTGTCCGTCAATGGTGCCTCGCTGGCTGGCTTAGCCCACGGGGATGTCCTAAAGATCCTGCACCAAGCACAGCTGCACAGAGACGTCCTCGTAGTCATCAAGAGAGGGAATGATCAGCCCGGACCCTCCAGTAGGCAGGAAGCCAACGGGAAGGGCTCGTTCTCCAGAAAGACCAGCCCCTTGGAGCCCGGTATAGGTAAGAAAGCAGTTTACCCCCCCAGCAGGGTGTGAGCAGCCAAAAGAGTAGCTTCTGGTTGAACACAAAGGAATATAACTACTGTCATCTGGGTCAGAGGAATAAAATGCAGGGGCGCCTGGGTGGCTTGGTTAAGCGTCTCTTGATTTCAACTCAGGGTTGTCAGATCAAGCCCCATGTCAGGCTCCACTCTGGGCCTGGAGCCTGCTTGAGATTCTCTCTCTCCCCCAATTCCCCCTGCCCCTGCCCCAAACCATCTCTCTCCCTCTAAAAAAAAAAAAAAAGAAGAAGAAGAAGTAGAAGAAAGAAGAAGAAGGAAGAAGAAGAAGAGGAAGAGGAGGAGGAGGAAGAAAGAAGAAAGAAGAAATAATAAGAAATCAAATGTGGTGAGGTCTAATGTTTGTGGATGCTTCTTGAAAAAGCAGTGTTCCAAGTAAGTTAGAAACCACCACCCCCAGCAGTTAAAGCCATACCGTTGAAGACTTTAAACAACTGCTTGACAGCTTCTCTACATGTGCTAAGAAGGAAGCCCTTTCACGTTTACATCTTCTTAGGACTTTAGTGGTCAGTCAGTAAAACACGGAGCTCTTGTGATGAGGGGAATCATGTAGAGTATGTGGAAAGAAATTCCAGAACTGAAATTTGTCCTTGGAAACCATCAGAGTTTCTAGTCTTTCCTGTTTTAGAAAAACCTAAGGAAATGGGGGGAGGGGCACAAATGCTTAAAAACAGAGGCTGTAGCCTTCGTCAACCAAAAGGAGTTTATAAAAAGAGGTTCAGAAGTGGATTTCCTATGTGCCCTCCGTACTGTCAGCCCAGGGCTCCCTGGGAAGGCATTGGAGGTATTTGCTTGGAACTAAGTACAAGGCCGATTGCGGCCTTCAGAGAACCACTTCCGACCTCAGTGGTGTCCTCACCTGGAGTTCAGGAGCAATGTCTTTAGTCCAGACAGCAAGGAGAACCTGTGGAAGCCCGGGTCAGGGCGCTGCCTTCAGGGGAGGCCTTTGGTTTCTTCTCGACCTCTCTCCCCAGGAAGGGTAGCTGAACTCCTCTCTGTTCACTCGGCTGCGTGGTGGCCTGGGCCGTGTGTGATTGCTTTGCTGAAAATAGCACGCATTTCCACTGAACAAATGGGCAAGTCTTCTTGTCCAGATGCCTCCACGGGCCAAGAGTGTCCTCAGCCTTCTCCTCTGTTGTCTTGCTCTTGCTCTTCTAAAAAACTGAAGCACTTCCTGATATCGGGAAACATCTTCAGTCGTCAGACCTTAGGCTCACCTTTGCTCCACCGCTCGCTGTACTTTCAGCGGGATCCTAGAAACTTAGCGTCATAGGAAACCACCTGGCACTTAATCCCGACAGCTTTCAGACTTCTTAAGACTCAAGAACTCAGCATATGGAAGGTTATCCTGTCATTTATAATCATTAAGTGTTCCTGTGCTACTTCAGAACACATCTGGCCTAAAAAAAAATAAAAAAAAAAAAGAACACATCTGGCCTTGAACCTGATTCTACAGAGTTACCAACTTGTAGGCACATGCAGGGCTTAAATTTCATTTTTTCACATCTCTATTCCTTACAATTCCCCTGCCCAGCGCTCCACCCAACCCTTGCAGGTGTCCCTTAATGTGCCTGGAGAGCAGCCCACGTGGGGACTGATGCGGTGGGCTGGATCACAGGAGAGGCACCTAGGAAGCTTTTTAACATCCTACTGCCCAGCAAATTCCCCAGCTCAATTAAGTCATAAACCCTGAGGGGTGAGGGGCCCGGGCCTAGCATCACTAGGAGAATCCGGCCAGAGCTGAGGGCCACTATAATGCGCCTGTTTTCCTGTTTAAGAGCAAGTGAAATCACCTACTGAAAAACCGTTGCTGCTCCTGTTAGCACATCTCCTCCGGCCCACATGGAACGTGAAGTGATCTTTAAACCACACTAATGGACTGAACTTTATGTTCAAAGGCAGGGATGCTGGCTACCTTGGCCTCAACCCAAAGCGGGCAGGTTACTCTGTGGTCCTTCCCCTGCCCCCCGCCCCCGACAACCCAGGGCACCTGTCCACTCACCTCCTTAACGTCCTTCGCTGGTACAGCGTGCAAATAAGAGAAATAAAAGGCGAGCTGACCATCTCCACTCAGACCTCAGGGATGGCCCCTAGCCAGGCCGCTCCAAACCAGCACACAGAGCAGGTGCCAGTTTGTTGCAGGGCAGGACCCGTTGCCAGGGAAACGTCCCCCCACTCCCCTCAGCCTGCGTGGAGAGAGGGCAGCGAAGGCGGCCGGTGTGTGATGAAGACACACGACGGGAGCACGTGTGGCACCAGGGGGAAGGACGGGAGCTCTGGAATCCGTGCTCACAGGTGTGAGGTGTGGCATTGGCTTCCCAGTGCCGGGCTGCGACACTCCGCTGCCGCCGGCGGGCAGGGGCGGCAGGAAACCCAACTTGACTCTCCGAGCGTGACTTCGCTGGGACACAGCCACAAGGTGTGGGGCTCACCAAGGGCAGTTTGGCCTCTGCACATTTCCAGTCCACACGGGCACGGGAGCCTCCTCCGTGCTTACGGGCCGTGCCTGGGGCCCCTGGGTGGCTCCGTCGGTTGGCGGCCTGGCTTTTGCTGTCGGCTCAGGTCCTGGCTCAGGTCCTGATCTGGGGATGCTGGACTCGAGCCCGGTGTGGAGCCACTTGGGCCCCGCGCCCAGAGGGGAGTCTGCTGCTCTCCTCCCCCCTCTGGCACTGCCCACCCCTGCTCATGGGCTTGCACGCGCACACCCGCTGTCTTGCTCTCGAATGTTAAAAAAAAAAAAAAAGAGCAAATGGTGCAGGTGCAGCAGGAACACACCCACAAGGTCAGCTCCAATCTGGGGCACCCAACCCGACGCTGGCTTCAAAGGTAGATGGGACTCAGGGGTGCCAGGGGAACACATCTGGGGGACCAGAGAGGAGGTGATGAGTGACCTTGTCATTGCCATCCTTGCGGATGTCGTCGCTGCAGGGAGAAGCGTACCTTCGCACGACGCGCTGTGTGTGGAAGTGCTGAAGACGTCTGCTGGGCTGGGACTGAGTCTGGACGGAGGAAAGTCCTCAGGGGCTGGAGACGGGCCCCTGTTCATCAAGAGGGTGTACAAAGGTAACGCCAGCAAAGCCAGTGCGCTGGGCCCCGTGCACGACTGCGCCTTCGTTTGGAAAATGTTCTCGTTCTTTCTCACAGGCTGTCCTGTGTGTCAGCCTCCGTGTCTTACACGCAGGAACCCCGCTGCCTGTCAGACAGGTACTATTATCATCACTCCTGGTCCACGTGCCGCAGGGAATTAAACAGCCCCCAGGTCACCCAGGTGTAAGCCCGGCCGAGCGGGCCTTGCCCCCAGGCAGCCCGGCTCTGAGGTCTCCGTCCCGAGCCTCCGTAACCTCCCCCGGACCCGTGTAGCCACAATTGATGTGAACACACACCAGGCGAAGGGGAGGCCGTGAGCACTGCCGGTCACGGGCATTCACGTGGCTCGGGACCGTATTCGGTTAAAGTTGCAAATACTAGACTTCAGGGAAGTGACGCTGAGAGCAGTGCAGATCACTGAAGCATGGTAGGCACAGGGCTCTTCGTGGACTGGAATAATCGTTTTACGATCTTGGACAGTTCTCCAAAGTCTCTCCAGGATCCTGTGCTGAACAATTAGATTAGAAATTTAAGGGGCGGCCCGGGTGGCTCAGCGGTTAAGCACCCACCTTCAGTCCAGGGTGTGATCCTGGGGACCCAGGATCCAGTCCTACCTCGGGCTCCCTGCATGGAGCCTGCTTCTCCCTCTGCCTGTGTCTCTGCCTCTCTCTGTGTCGAATGAATGAATGAAGTATAATTATACTGAGGCACCTGGGGGGCTCAGTCAGGTAAGCGTCCAACTCTTGGTTTCGACTCAGGACCTCGTCCCAGGGTCATGAGATTGAGCCCAGTGCCAGGCTCCGTGCTCAGCAGGGAGTCTGCTTGAAGATCCCGTCTCTCCACTCTGCCTCTCTCCTCCAGCTCCTGCACGTACCCAGTCATTCTCTAAATAAATGATCTTTTTTTAAAAAAGTGTAATTATACTAATAATATCAGTACATATAAAAATCTGTATATCCTATATGTAAAATACTGTTACATTACAGTAATGTTAACAGTATCAGTATGTAATCTGTGTAACACACACACATACAAACATATAGTCCTAAACTTATTACACAGAAAGCTGTGTAAGTAATCTCCAGTCACTGATTAGCGATCATGGTATATTGGATAGACGTAGAACCTATTTTCCTGCATTTACTGGCCATTTGGATCGTTGATTAAATACGCCGAAAATACCTTAGCCTCGCGTCCATTGCTTATGTGTCTTAGGAGGAAGGAGGGGATTACAGATCTGATTATTTTTATGTAGTTAAATCTTTCAAGAGTATATGCACTGTGGGCCTTAAGAACTATTTCCCTATCCTAAAATATGGGCATATCAGTCAGAGATTTTTCTCATCTAAGTCCTTAGCTTACTTGGAATGTATTCTGAATACCAGGAAAGCCCCGACCATTATTCTGTATTTATCCTCGCAGGTGGAGCAGCTGAGCAAGCTGGAACAATAGAAGCTGGAGATGAAATTCTCGCCATTAATGGGAAGCCCCTGGTGGGGCTCATGCACTTTGATGCCTGGAATATCATGAAGTCTGTCCCAGAGGGGCCTGTGCAGTTGGTAATAAGGAAGCCAGGAATTCTTCCAGAAACAAGCACCAGTAGTGATACTCACTAGTGCTGCTTCTTACATTTTTTTTTTTTTTTTTTTAGTTTAACAAGAATCTCCTTTTTCTCAGTTCCCTTACTTTAGCAAATCAGAAGAACTTCTTGAAACACTGGGTTCCTAAAACAACATAGAACATTGGCACAGGCAAGGATGATAAACACCTCCAAGTTTTTACCTGTACGTGGAGCTGACCTGTTGTGTGCGTGGCGGCAACGGAGCTGACCTCTGGGGGCCCTCAACCTGGACCGCGCAGGCCAGGAGGGACCGTTTTGTTCCAGCGCCTGTCCCCTCCTTTTTATGTTTACTGACGGGGAAACAAACGTGGCATGCCCTCTTCATTCGAAACATTTACCTAAGACCTTCACATCCTTCCTGCCTCCTCTCCCACCGTTCCCAATCCTGGCAGTTCGGGAGCTTAACCAGGTCTGAGGGGCAACACAAATGTCACAAATAAAGGACTACAGTTTTATATGATTTTGTAAGTAAATAAGAGAATGCTTTTAGGCACATTCAGTGGGAGGAGCTGTAGGTCTGTACGTTACCGTGAAAAGAAAATGAGACTTAAGAAAAAATTAGTTATGACCTAACAGTTAGGCTGAGCTCAGGAATTATCCAAAAATGAAAAAGCAAAATACAGAAAGTGATATTTTTTAGTGAGTGTAATAAATGTGCAATGTATGGATGCAGAGTTCAACTCAGCGGATTATTGATCATCATGAAGTGCTGATCGTGATCTAAAAGTGTAAGTCGTAAGGCTATTTTACAGAAATGCAATTCTGAGAAAGCATACTAAATAGCCATGAACTTTGCTGCTTGGAATGAGCAGAAAGTTCCAGCTCTGAAAGCACCTTGCATCTAGTTTGGAACTTGTCTTGAATAAGTGCTTGAATTCAAGACCAGTCAACACAAGGGTGGGCAGAAATACCATAGTCACTGGGTTTCCATTTCTATATTTTATGCACTCCAAACACTAATTTAAGCTAGATTTTTGGAAATCTTTTTAGCATCCTTGGATTTATAAGCATAAGCATTACATTTGCAACCCGAAGGGCGGAGCTTAAAAAATCATCTTTTAGGGGATTTTTGGTTGGCTGGTTTTCCCCTTTCCCAACAAGCTTATGAAATCTCCCCTCTCCAAGCACTGGCCCGCTCTTCCTGACCTGGGTGTAATGACGGCTCTGCAGTGACTAAAGTGTTTGCGGGTCTTGTTTTCCTGTTTTACAAATTCTTCCTTTTGCCAAAATGGTTTCCCTGCAGAAGACTGTTGTGACTCACTCACTGCCCGTGCAACTCGTCCCGGCTGCTGTCCCGCCAAAGCAGAACTTCGTAGTAGCTGCTCCCATTCCGTGCACTGTTCCCGGTCACAAAACTGGCTTTTCCCCTCCCTGCTGCACCTCCTTTCCTTCAATGCCAAACCTCCATCAGCTTCATTTACCAAAATGTAAAAAAGAAGACAATGGGGAACACGGGTGAGTCACTCTTTCAAGGTAAAGAAGCAGAACTGTGTCGTACACCCCAGATCCCAGGGGGACGCAGACCAGCAGATCGTGTCCTGGGAATACGGGTGAGGACGCCGAACCTGCGTGCATGAGGACGCCAAGGTTTCATGCTGGAGACTTCTTTCAATAACCTACAGCTTGGGTCTATGGCTTAGAGAACTGAGGTCACTATATACACAATACCCCCCCCCCCAATCGTGGAGCTGCTTGAGCTGTCACCTGTGTACATTGTTTTTCCGAGTGACTAATCCCTTACAGTAAACCTCCATAGGGGCCCAGAGGGGTCTCTCAGATTAGAATGAAGTATCTGGCTGGTGTGAGCCCAGATTTTTTTTTTTTTAAACAGGTTATACAAAAGAGAATGTAGTATAAGAATTAGCTAGAAAGACCTGATTACTTTAGCTTCTACTTTTCACTACACTTCCAGGTAGGATACCATAGGCAGTCAATGCAAGGTGCATGCTAGATTGTTTTTAAGTCCCTGGGGTCAGTTTTGTGGTTTCTGCTTTCTTAATGGTAAGAGAATATTTGCCTCCACTCTTCCAGCTGTGCCTACTAGTAAGAAATTCACAGTCCTCCGTGAACAGACAGGAATTTCTAGAGCAATTTGGAGCAAGGGAACGGTCTCCTTCTGAGAGTTCCTAATCATCATATCTGAAGAGTGCAAGGGTAGACCTTTTGCTCACTAACATAAGTCATCATTTCTAGTAGATTTTGCCAGAAGAAGGTTTCCCTGGCCAACAGTTGGAATTTAAGGGAGAAAGCAAAAGGCTAAACTATCTCTGACCCTAAGATAGAAAGCTACTTATTTGTCCTCAGTGTTCAAGGCATGACTAGTATTCTAATTAGTCTAATAATTCCCACACTTCCTGAAGTGAGCACTAATGGTATATCATCCTACTAAAACTTTCATTGTTTTGGTTTTCTGATTCATCAGTCATCCACAATAAGCTATGAGGGTAAATATGTGTTATAACAAGTAAATCGTAGTTGCAAGGATATTCTGTGAAGGTTGAAGTAGTTGGGTTTCATTTCTGTCCTCCAAGACACATCTCATTTAATTTTACGGTTGACTTAATTGGCACCACACCTGTTGTATGATATTATACATTATCCTTTATTTATGTAAAATAAAATGCCTTATATATTATTGAAGAGTAAGTGCAATAATATGAAATAGCCTGTACATTTTTAAAATGTTGTCGCCAAGTTATGTAAATCCACTTCTCTGTAAACAACCTTTTTTAAGTAATTTTAAAAAAATAAACACTCTGCTTACTACTTGGGTCTTTTTTTAATTCTTCCGGTCTACAAAGTAACCTACTATTATCTCACGATAAGAAATGTTTATTATTACCTAAATTATTACATAAATGAGTGAGCGGTCCAAAGGCTACAGAAAATACAACTCTCACAGGGCCACACCAAGGCTCTGGCACAGTCTAAAACCATTCCACCTCTTGAAATCTTAAACATCCCATGCCTTTGCAACTTCCTGACCTTCTGGATCTTACTCTCCCTTCCTCCCACTACAACATTTCAGCAAGCCCTCTAACCCCTTGACAACTGTCCATTTTCTCCCCATCAGAACCCCCATTTCTCTTCAGTCTAGACCCCATGATAGAGCCAAGCCCTACCCAACCCACAGACTCAGCACCCTCAACCCAGCTAGTCCTGGATCCTTCCTCCCAACTAACTGACATGTTGGTTCCTAGAGAAAATCCTACAACCACACAGAATAATGCCAGAAATTCATGATTTCCAACCACAATTGGACTCCCCATGCTACTCAGCTATTGTTTCCTTGTCAGATTTTTCTTCTCACTTCTTTATAATGACAATTCCTCCCTTTTCTCAAAACTGCTACTCACCTCCCCGCCCCGCCACGCTTGGGTAAACTGGGATCCTCCTGCACAGAGTAAAATAAAAAGCATCTAGTTTACTTAGGCTCTTTTTTTTTTTTTTAAGTTTTTTTTTTTTTTCTTTTTATGATAGTCACACAGAGAGAGAGAGAGAGGCAGAGACACAGGCAGAGGGAGAAGCAGGCTCCATGCACCGGGAGCCCGACGTGGGATTCGATCCCGGGTCTCCAGGATCGCGCCCTGGGCCAAAGGCAGGCGCCAAACCGCTGCGCCACCCAGGGATCCCTACTTAGGCTCTTTTAAGGGGCAGACACCCACCTAGAGTAGCACAAGGAGGGAGGCAAGACGGCATCTCACAGAAACCTAAAAATGGACTCAGCCTATGACCAGGCCTCTGAGGCTGGAGGAGCGATGGGGTTCATGGGTGTTTGCCCAGCACCCTCCACTAAGACTCCCTTTCTGCTCCCGCTTCTCCCTCTCCCAGATGGTGGCCTTCCGCCAACTCTTCATACTTTTTCTTAGAAACCTTATGAATGCTATTTTGTCCTAATCTTAGCCTCTGTATCACAGAATTCCTCTGGACACACCACCAGACTGCCTGATTTTTTTCCATATATACCCGAAAGTAAGATTCTGACTGGCTCACTCCTACTTGGGAAAAAACTTCTGGGAGAGAGTGAGCTTATCTGTTCATAGAACTCTTCTCTCTAGAGATGCCTGGGGAGCTCAGCGGTTGAGCGTCTGCCTTTGGCTCAGGGTGTGATCCCGGGGTCCGGGGATCGAGTCCCACATCGGGCTCGTGTGGAGCCTGCTTCTCCCCCTGTGTCTCTGCCTCTCTCTCTCTCTCTCTCTCTCTCATAAATAAATAAAATTATTAAAAAACAAAGAACTCTTCTGTCTACATCCCAAAACAAAGAAGGAAATACACGTTTTGATACAATATAGAAACAGCCTATTCTATGAATGTTGGAGACTACAAACCAGGTACAACAAGATCCAAAACCAAACTGAAGAGCAATGAAATGGGATACAATTATCTCTAAATGAGGTATGTTTTTTATTTTTTTTTTAATTTTTATTTATTTATGATAGTCACAGAGAGAGAGAGAGAGGCAGAGACACAGGCAGAGGGAGAAGCAGGCTCCATGCACCGGGAGCCCAACGTGGGATTCGATCCCGGGTCTCCAGGATCGCGCCCTGGGCCAAAGGCAGGCGCTAAACTGCTGCGCCACCCAGGGATCCCTCTAAATGAGGTATGAAATGAGAGTTCTGAAGAATGCCACCAAAAGTCTTAACTTGGAGAAAGGAGATTATAGGATAAAGTGGGCCCCAGAAAAAGCAGGAAGCACTCAGATTTGGAGCCATTAACACTCCTCAGAATGCTAAGGAGGGTGCAGTTGAAGAGGGGGAATTAATTTTTCCAGGTACCTGGGTCAGCCTAGGAAGGCAGAGGAGTAACACACAAGGAATGGTCTGCTCTGAGGGGGGTCCCTGCCAGATAGGACCCAACCACTAAAGGGCTTAACTAATATTAAGAGTTTAGCTGCCACAGCCCACTCACCCCATACAGGCTACAGCAAACCACACCCTCCTCCCAATCCCCCCAAAACAGCTATCTGAAACGAGATTAAAATTGGCTGCTGGAGGTGCCTGGCCGGCTCAGTTAAGCATCCAACTCTTGGTTTTGGCTCAGGTCATGATCTCAGGGCTCTGAGATCAGCAGGGAGTCTGCTTGTCCCTCTCCCTCTCCCCTCCCCCTTGCTCGTGCTCTCTCTCAAATAAAATCTTAAAAAAAAAAAATCTTTAAATATAGTTCATGATATTAGAACCAAAAAGAAAAAAAATTATCATGAAAGACATCAATAAATACCTTTTCAAAGTCTACATCATACTATATTTTTTTAACCCTAAGGTGAATAGGAGGCTAAATTCAGAAGCTATAAAACAATAGATTCATAATCTAACCAGGCTACATCCAAACTAATAAAAACTAGGGCCTATCCCAGCAGATTCAGGCAAGATGGCAGAACAGTGATAATTTTTTGATCTCCTCATATCCCACCCTTACTCTGCTTGCTGCTACCACCACACACACACACACACACACACACACACACACACGGAAAAACCACAGTAAATATCTACAACAAAACCAAGTATGAGTATGAAAGTATTGCACAAACCCCATAATATACAAACAGGGACAAACTACTAACAACAGGACCCATTTGGTATTGGGATCTGTGCAAGGGGATTAGATGAAGCAACAGGGCATCTGAGAGCCACAGGACAACCCCCACCTTAATCAATCCAATCAACAGAGGTGCAGACCCATATCTCAGAAAGTAAGCTGCCCTTTTTCTTACACTCCACCCAAACAGAAGAGGAAGGTGTAGAGAATAAATAGTTAGAAAAGCTACCCTGACGCACATCCCTTGTAAAACAGCACAAGTAATTTCATATATAAATAGGTAACAGAAGATAATCTAGGTAAAATCCCACACACCATTATAAGGAAAAAGAGCCTGAGCAGCAAATACAATCCCTAGAGACAACAAAGCACACCAGAGAGATGTGCTCAGGAAACCAGTGAAAACTGTAACTGAATACCTCAAAATGAATTAAAATGCCTTAAGAAAATGACATAAAATCTAAGATAAAATGATTGTCAGGAAAAAATTCATAAATTGGTTATTAAAACTCAGATAAAACAATTTCAGAAAAAGACTAAATCAGAACAAGAACCTCCAGTGAGTAAATAGGATAACATCTTAAGAGAAAGATGAGAAGAGTGAGAGGTTTAAAGATCAACAATAAAGAAAAAAAAGAACCCAAGCAAAACTGACAGATGTGAAGAGCTATAAAAACAGTCCTCGGGGATCCCTGGACGGCTCAGCGGTTTAGCGCCTGCCTTCAGCCCAGGGCGTGACCCTGGAGACCCGGGATCGGGTCCCACATCAGGCTCCCTGCATGGAGCCTGCTTCTCCCTCTGCCTGTGTCTCTGCCTCTATCTCTCATGAATAAATAAATAAAATCTTTAAAAAAAAAAAAAAAGTCCTCAAGGGAGAAAACCGAAACAAAGGGACATAAACACTAAAATGTTAATTTTCCTGAAATTGAGCATAAAAAAGATTTGACACTACACATTAAAGGAACATTATCATGTACTTGGGAATACTGATCCAGAACAACCAACACCCAAACACAGTGTGGTAACATTACTGGGGGGAGGTTAAGGGGGAAATCCTGTGGGCTCCAGACAAATAGAACAAGGCATTCATGAGGGAAAGAAAAGCATATCATAATCAGACTTTGACAGTAATGCTTTATACCACAAAGGACATACTTAAACACCCTAGAAAACAAAATATGACCTAGAATTTTATCCAAATGGACTTTCAAACAAAGGGCTGCAGATAAACTATCATCAGCATAAAAACACTCAGGGACTGTTACCCTCTCTGAAGAATCTACTAACAAATGAGCAAGACAACCAAAATGACGGGACAATGACATAAGGAATGGTAGTGAACATTAAATATGTATTTCCCTGAAGAACTCAGGCTAAAGGAAGAGTAAAGGGAGACCGTAATCTAGAACCGTGATGGTCTTACAATGCAGATCCAGCTCAACCAAAGTGGGACACTGAACTGTACATTTCAAACTGGCTCAAGTGGTAAATTTTGTATTTTACCACAACACAAAGGGAAATAAATTAAGTGCCTCATATGCTTACACTGATACTTCCCATTTAAATTTAGAACTACAAGATTTTTTCTGCCTTCTTAAAGCCGTACCTCCAACTTTTCCATATCACGAATCATGGTTCTCGTATCAGATAAAGGGCTAGTATCCAAGATCTTTAAAGAACTTACCAAACTCAACACCCAAAAAACAAACAATCCAGTCAAGAAATGGGCAGAAGACATGAACAGACGTTTTTCCAAAGACAGAGACATGGCCAACAGGCACATGAAAAAAATGCTCCAGGGAAATACAAATCAAAACCACAATGAGATACTTTACACCGGTGAGAACAGCTAAAATTAACTAGACAGGAAATAACAAATGTTGGCGAGGATGTAGAGAAAAGGCAACCGTCTTGCACTGTTGGTGGGAATGCAAACTGGTACAGCCAATGTGGAAACAGTGTGGAGAGTCCTCAAGAAGTTAAAAGTAGAACTGCCCTACAACCCAGCAATTGTGCTACTGGGTATTTACCCCAAAGATACAGATATAGACGTAGTGAAACAATGGGACACCTGCACCCCAATGTTCATACCAGCAATGTCCACAACAGCCAAACTGTGGAAGGAGCCGAGATGTCCTCTGACAGATAAGATGTGGTCTGTATATACAAAGGAATATTACTCAGTCATCAGAAAAGATGAATACTTACCATTTATATCAACGTAAGTG